AAAGGGGGGGGGGGGAGAGAAGCGTAAGGATTTTTTTTATAAAAATGTTTTGATCGACGATATGTTTCTCTTTCAGAATAGTAAAAAGGGAAAATAAAAGTGATCCACATAGAATGTTCATTGACATTCCATCAGTGACATGGTCTTATCGCGATCGACATAATTTTATGTACACATACATACAGCTCATACTTGCGACCCAGCGGGTTGATTTACATACCTTCGCACCTACCCGTATCCTTAACTCGCGCGAGCTCTCTAACTCGACGTTACATTATTTATGCAATCAAAATGAGAGTTTATCAACATTAAGATGTTCTTTTTTTTATGATACGCTTATACATTACTGAGATTTAGCTCATCTTCTATGTTACATACAGAGACGCAACGATTGTTTCTATTTGCTCACACTTGTTTACAGCGATCAACTTGCGGTACAGGATAAATTGTACAATCTAAATTAACAACGATAGAAAAGGTGTTTTTGGTATCACTTGTAGGGGCACGTTCATAGTTGGTCGAGATATAAACAGATACCTCTACAACTGCAAATTGTAAATTATTCCTTATTAAGTATTAAGAAACTACACGAAAAATGTGTACAGCTACTGTTTTGCAGTAGGTGTTGTGATAAAAATCAATGTATATTTGCCAAAGCAACTACATGTATTGCTTTGCGTGTTTTAATTATAAATAAAATTCAATTCTCTAATTGATCTTTGCACCAACTGCTTAAAAAGTCTGAATCCAATTTATTATAAATCGACTTATTGACTTACTACGAATAGATGTATCCAGCATGATCTATTCCACTTTAATGGCAAAGCTAGCACCGCAACTGCATCCTTGTTCAGCTAAAGGATTATTTGTTATTCTAAAGGCAGACCGTATAAGTTCTGTATGAAACTCTATTGTTGATCCTTTCACATATTCCAATGATGTCGAGTCTATAATCACCTTGGTGCCATCCCTCTGAAATACTCTATAAAGCAAAAAGTGTGTTAATCTAATTTAATCAAATTCGCGAGATTAGATTTCTCTTAGATTTTTGCGGTACGGTAAAATACTTGGTCTGGATTGCGAATTGGTGCCACGTCTTTCGTGAATTTGTTTTCGGCGTTTCGCGAACATTCCAGTTTATTTCTTCAGTAAAGAAGCGATCCGACACCTCTTCCGAAGAAACTGGAGTGGCACCTTCACGAAACGCAAGAAACAAATTCACGAAGGACATGCGGCACCAATCAGAGAACAACCTGATCTCATCCCTTCGCGGGGTTTTGCGTACCTGTCATCTTCGTGTACATTTGAGTCTAGGTCAAATTTGTATTGAAATCCAGAGCAACCACCACCCTCGACGGTGACTCTCAGACTCGTATCATCGCTCGCGATTTCCTTCAAACGCTTCACGCAACTGTCGCTTATAATCAAAGCGTCTTCGGATTTGACAGCAACGTTCGTTGACAGTCTATGGGATGATGTAACCATGGATATATTGTACCATGGTGAACTATGAATATATCATAAATTCTTTAGCGGCAACGTTAAAGAGATGCCTGTATACAATTCATATTGGTTCTCAAAATTTATTATAAATTACAAAAAAAAAAAAAATATATATATATATATATATATATATATGTATGTATGATACATCTACTTTTCTTTCGCACAATCACACACCATTCACCGCTGTTATGTTCTACCAGCACGACGTGCAACTATCTTGCGAGAGTAAACGTTAACGTGTGAGCTTGAGATTTACTTACGTCAACAAGCGAGAAAAATAGCGATTCGCCGCAAAGTTCGAAGAGAGATCCCACACAGCATGGCTCAACTTCGCCATGTTTTTAATCGGGCGCATCAGCTGATGGAGCGCCACCGACGAATGCGCATCTCGCGTACGTTGATTTTCGCGCCATTTCCAAAGTCTCGGACAAATTGACGATGCGAAACGGACGTTATTTCGATCGAGCATGCTCGGTCGACGTGAACCGTCGCCGTTTTTGGACAATCTCCAATTCTATTCTGATTGGGCGCACTAGATTTTCGCAGTACCACAGTCGTGTCTAACGCCAACGATATTTCTCAACGATTCGCGAGTTTCGTGCGTAACTTGGAGGTGATTTGCGGAAATCTCTTGCATGCAACATTCTAGAGAGAGAGAGAGAGAGAGAGAGAGAGAGAGGGGGAGAGAGAAGACAATTATTCGCAAAAGATAAAGAAAACTTTCGGCCGATAGGAACGGACACTTCCGTTCGAGGAGCGTCGTCATGATCACGTCGTCGTGACACGTAAAAGACAGTTGAAGAGATACAGAGAATGGAAGGGGTGGAGGCGAAAGGTGTGTAATTTGCGAGGCGACCATTGCGAGGCGTCGTTGCGGCGGTGACGGTAGCGGTGGCGGCGACGGCGACGGCGCGAGTAAACAGTGGATCAGCTGATGAGGCACAACACGAGAGAGGAGCAGTCGTACGTGGTGGAAGGCAGACTGGTTGTTGAAGTCGACCGCCGCGTTGGTCGGTTATGGCGACGAGCAGCTCCGACGGCTCCTGCACTGCACCCGCGGACTTTCAGCTGTCTTCCGAGTTGGAGGACGTGTCCAATCGCTTGAGCGCGAGCCTGCTCAAGTGCCCGCTGTGTCACAGCAGCCGTCGGATCTTCCACTGCCGCCAGTGCATCCAAAACGGCGATTTCACGCACTCGAACGCGGTTTACTCTGAACGGTACGTTACCCGCTCGTGTCGTGAAAATTTACGCGAAATCGCGCGGACTTTCCGCTTCGAAGCCGAAACTTTGACAAACTTTGGCGGAATACTCGGATAATGCTTGCGGCGCAAGTATTGTAATTACCTGATGATGCTACTTTCAGGTTTGCGGACAAGCAGATGCGGTTGCTACGACTAAAAGCCGCTAGAGCTCAGTTGGAGGAGAAGTGCGTAAAGGCTCTCGAGAGGCGCAAGCAAAAAGACAAACTGGTACTGTACACGAAACATGAATAATATCAATCTATGTGTTTGTATGTATGCGTGTATATGTATATACTTGGTATACACTGTTATACAAATTAATATCTTGGCTGAATACATTAAGTTCACAAAGCAGCTTTCTCGGTTTCAACGCAGCCATTACATTTATCTGTTTCGCATGATGCTTCATATCTTGTATATTTTGTTTCAGATATGTGATATAAATATCTGTAAAGAAAGAGTCAGACTTCTTCAAAGCTTGGTGAATGAGACAAAACAGAGTATCCACAGAGGTGAGCCAAATTTTTGCAACTAGATCTTGCTAAATACTTTTATCATCTTGATGTTGATTTTTTTATATACAGGCAATCAGCGTTTGAACATTCTAAAAGACAGCAACTCGCAATTAATTCAGCGTTTGCCAAGGCACGAGGAGAGAGTAGAAAAATTGCATTGTTATGTTAGCAGCTTGAAGGCTAAGCGAGAGAAACAGCAAGAAGCAGTGGATAGAAAGAGGGAGCAACTCAAAAACGTTATCAGAACTACCATCAGCCAACTAATTCAATATATCTTTCCGTTATCTCGGGTTCAGCCAAACAGGAGGTATCATCACATTTTTATCTCAGGGTCCTTTCAGCAAGACTTCAGTTAATTTGCGCCCAAAGAATAGACCATTTCCCATTATTTACAGTTTGTGTAGCAGCGAAGACAGCGACAGTACAACCTCAGATATCGTCACCTCTGCGTTAGCGGAAGCGTCAGGCACATCGTATGTCCGAGGTAGATGGATCAGCGACAAAGAAAATTCGTCGGAAATCCGTCATTGTATAGTCGAACCAACATTGCCAGGGACGGGAGACTATAGCGCTTACTCTCATTGGGGTAATTATGCCTGTTCTGTTCTAGGAATGACGTCAGAAAGTGATATACACGTACAATATACGAATTCTTCTGCAGTCGCAGCGAACAAGGACGGCGTACCAACAGGTGCAAACAGAGAAAATGCGATGCACAATCCGGCGTACAATATCAGCGCTGGTTTATCCTTCACTACACAACTCGTTAATGTTATTGCTTCTTTCGTTAACGTAAAGTTACCGTACAAACTTACATGTGGGTATGTATCTAATATACAAGAGAAAGTCCTTTTCAAACTTGTGTGTAATACATCCTTTGCGCGTGCGCGCACATACACTCATAGAGATACGCAATTTTCTTCCATCCAGATGTCAAAGACATGAAGATTGCTTTTCAAAAACATACGTTGCTTCTTTCAGGGAATTTGGACATGAAATGTCGGATCAAAAATTCGCCAGGAAAGTAGCAAGGTTAAACAGCAACGTATTACACTTGTGCTTTACGCAAAATACCGACACAAGGGTTTTACATCCGATGCATACTTTGCAAAATCTGATGCACTTGCTCAATACTGAAATTAGTGACTTGGGAAGGTAATGCATTCCACAAAATGAATTAACGTTTCTTGTTAAAAAATAATTAATGATATGGTTGAAAAGTCTTTACAAATTACAATATGTTGACGTGACATACGTCGTAGAATTGGACCAATGGAAGCTGATCCGGCTATAATAGCACAACTTCACAATCAGTTGATTCCTGATTTGGAAAACAGTGACGATTCGGGTTCCGACGAGGAGGAAGATGCGTGTGCGGGATGGGAAGCGGTGAGTTGTATTCTTTTTTGTTTTTACAAGACCGAACTGCAACGCAATTAACGCGATCGTGTGTCGACAGGTGCCGAATATCGCTTGTCCCGAAATGACAGTACCTATTCCTAGTGCGATGGTTACTCAGCAGGCCTCTAGTATGCAAGTGCATCAGAGTGTTGCCGGTGGCTTGGTAACGAGTGCAGCGGCCAGTATCGCCTCGATCTGGCGAGGTTGGACTAACAAGTAACTTTTTCCTTACGGATAAAAGGCAGGTTTCATTTTATACGGAGATTTGTTGCGTCTCGATTTCTCTCCAAGTCGCGAAGAGCGGAAAACCCGCGAGGGCACTTCGACACAAACGTGATGTGTAAGAGGTGTATTTACGTTTCGTACGATAATATTTGCGTAGCAGGGAGAGAGTATGGATATACACGCGACTTTCTTGCGTGACATTCAAAGTAGTTCAAATATACGCTGTGACAGATTTCGTTAAAACTAATCTAACTTAATTGAATTATAAAGTAAATCGAGAGAGAAGAAGGATTAGAGTAAATATATAAATAGCATAGTCGTTTAACGAATTTATGGACATTTTATATTTCGACGCACCACGAGTAATAGTTTAGATTGCGTGATACAATGAGAGACGGATATATTAATAGTATGCGGAAGCAGAATGTGTATATTAATTAGCAAAACACGTAGCTATAAAACTTGTTACGACCGAATATGTGCAATGACTGCCTTTTCTATGCTCACTGCACTCTGGACATTATTGTACATTCGTTGATTAAAGTATATACACGAAAAGGACGCGCCAAGACACGCTTCCCTGGGTTAAATTTGCCGTTGATATATCTTGTATTTGGTGTGTGTATGTGTGTGTGTATGCGTGTGTGTGTGTGTGTGTGTGGAGGGAAAGAAAGAGTGAGCGCAACCAATATCGAAATTAGATCTTTTCGATATTGTAATTATCATTGTATGGGATCATTGTATCCAATATCTTACGATCTTTTGCTCGGCGACAAACAGTCCGATCGCAATAATGTATTAATCCTATATAATATCGGGAAAATTAATGCAGTTCAATTGATATGTTAAATGAATTCTGAAATGTTTTTAACACGGGAACTATATATGGAGAAACATTGTGTATCGCGTATATTTTCTACCATGTAGTATAAAAAAAGATAAGATTTATTAAACGTTTCATACTTAATAATATAAGAGAGGCAAGTATTACGCGTTAATTGGATTCAATTGTATTAAGTACAGCAAGATGAGAGAGCAGGATTACCAGTATTTTGAAATATATGGTCATCCGTGAGAAACTAAGACACTATTGTACGTAGATGATTTTCCCTCTTTTTAATTGAATATAATATTTCGTGCGCGGTCAGTTTGTAATAATTTAGTTTTATTTTTGTACATCGCGTTGAATCGAATTTTTCACGTTTCTTAAATAAGCAAATAATAACTTATTTCTGGTTATTCTAGAGTATCGCGGAGAAAGCCAGGAGGAAGGTAGTCGATAATTATTCATTCACACGATCTAAGTTTACACACAAACGTAATCTATTTGGTGATTAAGAAGATGCTTTTTACGCAATGTATTCGTACCGTAAACACACATTCGTGATTTTTATAAGCGCAGATACTTCTTAGGCATACATGTAGGGATAAAATGGGAAGAAGAAATGTAGATAGGTAACATAGACAGATTATGTGTGTGTTCATCTATTTATAATACCGCATCATTTTCTCCTATGTGTATATCCAATTTTCGGAGCAATGTAACATGTTACATTGTGACACGTAGTAAAACGTGATTTTACGAACGGACAACAACAAACTATGAGATATTGGAATGCTGAAACTATCGCGTGTCTCACCACATTTACATAACGATGCATATCTAATTAATTTAATATAATTGCCGTTTGTGTGTGATATTAAAAAAAGCGTTACTTAAGTTGGAGTGTAAGACGAAAGGAATTTCAGTCGTAAAACGCAACAACTCGAGAGCATCACACATTTTTAGAAATGTACAAAAATACGATATGTCAAGTAGGTTAAATAATTATCGCGTGCATGTGTCGGCGTGCGTATGTGCGAATGGTATATATGTAATTTGTATCTTATTACTGTGTAAAATGGCTATGTTTTATCTGAACAAAGATACATTGTGATACCTCGAGTAAAATAGGACCTGTTTTCTCTTTCTCTCTCTCTCTCTCTCTCTCTCTCTCTCTCTCTCTCTCTTGTTTTCTTTTTTATATCATTATTACTCCGTATGTCTAAGTAATATTAACGACAAAAAGCATACTTTTTAAATATACCAATTGACGGTACATACCGTTTTAGATCTTTTGTATCTTCTTCGATATTTTGGAATAAATATGTAAAAGTGCGATCTCTTTGGTGTGTTATATCCTATACATACATGTGCACACATACGTATGTACATAAGACAGAAAAGTTCTAAAATGCACAACAGGAAGCAAGAAATGAGCATTTTCTTTCGTTTTTGTGTAAAAGGCAAAGGGTTTATTACGTAGCTCGATAAAATCGTTTTAGCTGCACAAGAGGCGCGATATACATTTAAATGTGATTTAACAAAAAGAGAACAAAAGAAAAAATAGAAGAAAGAAAAATCGACAACTGTGAGCACAAGTTTCAAACATAAGTGTCAATTCGCAGAAAGAAGATGCGATGATTCTCTGAAGTAGTTTATTCAGCTTCACGTACGATGCATTCGGTCCCTAATTTAATAGCCAAAAGTAATTGGGCGCACAACGACACGCCGTTCTTACAACTATCGGTTATTCGTATAGCACAGACTCGCTTGAAATATAATGAACGATCTCGTCTCGCCGTTTCGGTGAGGATAAAATGCTTTGTACAATGTGTTCTTTTACCAACGACGAGTGTGACGTAACATAGTTTGTGAAAATATTCCGATAGCTTTGACGCCGCAATGTACAGGGACACTTTCCGCGAAGGTGTTTGCGATGATGAAAACCGCGATAAAAGATAAAAGCCTGTGTGCAGTCGGTCATTGTCGACTACTAATGCTTGGTAAAGATATCAAGAAATTGGCGGAAACTATATCTGCTACTATTGTTGCCGTACGTATTGCAATATCAAATACGGTGTATCTGTAGCGATTGAACTATACTAATATATACTTGCAAGTCCAACTACATTTGTTTAAATTACATTTTTTTATGTACAGATTGTTTGTACATTGTAAATTGGCGTTCAATCGCTAAAAGTCGCTCAGTCGGTCGTCGTAGCTGACCTCGCACTATGAAAAAATTAATAAATTACTGAAAAAAATTATTATGATAAAAAATTGACGATGCGTATTCTAAATCTTGTAATCCAACTTTGATCTGATTTAGTGTGTGTTTCACTAGTTTTTTTAGTACTTGTATAACGTAACAGTAGACAAAACTGAAAAGTCATCGCGATTTGAGACTCCGCATCATGTTGCACCGAAAATAATTGTTAAATTGTGGCGTCAAAGTTATCTCGAAATCGTTTTGGTAATAATAATATTTTATAATTGCGAGAACTATCCAATTACTCTTTCCAATTACCATATCGCACAGTTTTTGTTCAACGTAGCAACTCCATTATGATTCTCCTGACGACAGACATTTTCATTTTCATCACTTTCGGATTGGCCAGTCTATCGCAATTTCACATGTACGAAATTGTATACGTATTGTGTATACTTAACTGCTCTGTGATTTCTGTAAGCACATCATTACACGATATTTTAATTTTTGCACATACAACTATTTGCAAGATCTATAACATATGACGGGAGTGATGTATGTGTGTATGCGGATGTGTGGCTCTGTATGTACACATATATGTATCTTGTATAGATATTAGATTATTTTTTCAAGTACCAAAGTGTACGTGTGTGGTCGATTCGGCACTAAAGTACACCAAATCGTGCAAAAGTTTCGATAATCTTGACTGTATGTATGTACAGGGAAACTTTATAAAGAATACTACTGTTGATTGATAATCTAACAGTTGCTATGCATTAGTACGTAAATATTTGAACAATACCACTATATAATGTACTGCAAGAAGATGATGTTCTAAAAAATACTTAAGGATGCAAATTAATAATATAAATTATATACTTACATACTTTAGAGGTAAGATATCGTTAATGTTGTTTGTCCTCAAGTATCAGTAACGTTGCACGTATTACAGACTTAAACCAAGTCAACTATTGTCCCGTGATCAAGTATTGTAGGAACGATCAGAAGACTAAGATGCACGGATGAAAACCAACACAAATTGCAAATCAATCAGAGATATAACACAGGAACGTTGTGTGATCTCGTATCTACTTGTATTCTCACAATGCACCATGTTGTCCAACGAATAAATGATCACGTACGTTCGATACGTTTTTACATATACGTCCATAGTTTACAGTCACGTCGCGAAAATATAACGAGTAATTATAAAGTGGTATTGTCAAGAGAAGCAGAGAGATAAATTAGATATAAATTTTCTAAAGATACCTCTCTCTCTCTCTCTCTCTCTCTCTCTCTCTCTCTCTCTCGCGCGCGCGCGCAGATACGTATCAAGTGTATCGGATATCAGAGATCGGGACTCTGTCGACTGTATAATATTAATAGCATATTTCCAGGGAAAACGCATGACACGAATAAAAACAAGAACGCCGAAAAAACAACATGTAAAAGATGTAATTCTCATCGAAACCGTGGTATGTCGTAGCGGCGATGCAAACAATAAACGCAAGAATATTTCAATAATGTGTGAACCCCGCGACAATACGAGCGCGCGTAATTGCTAGAAAATAAGTCGCAAATTATGTACACGCTTGCTCACAAAAACGAAAGACTCATTCCTCATTCAATCATTTTAACTGCATATACGCGCATATTATACACAGTAAATACAGATAAGTATGATATGAACATTTACGAGTCTACCCATGATAAAGATATATCTAAAATATCAGCGTTATTTGAGCTACCGAAATTTTGCATTTTTTTAAGCTTCGCCTATACATCTTTGCGCAAATATCGTAAAAAAATAAGCCAATAATGTCAAATCTAATTTCCCGTTAATCTTCACACCCTTTCTTCTAAAATAAAGAAGAAAACTAACGTTACGAATCCTAAAAATTGCGCTGCAGTTTCAACGCGGCCCGAAAAATGAAGAAAAGATTTTTCACCTTTAGTACATCATAGGTTTCATCTATAGTGTGTATATCTGTGTTTGCGCAAAGTATTAATATGATAATAAATGGTTAAATATATCTTGAAAAGAGTGTGCCGACATATGTATGTGTGTGTTCGTGTATGTGTGCGCGCGCGCTCATTGAAATTGTGAAACGTTTAAAAAATTAAACGTATACAAAGATCTATGAGGATAATTGCGACAGGAGGAGTGTACGACGTTACGTTTGCTTGTCGACAATAAAATGAACAAGTTTGATATATATCGTTTGATATATATATATATATATATATATATATATATATATATATATATATATATATATTACTCAGAGAGCACACAACAGTGTTGGTAATATTTTCAAAACGACGTCACACAATTAGCCCACTGTCACAATTGTGTCGACTGTAAACTTAACCGATATATATAATCCTATGTAACAGTGTAATCAAAAAAATACTACTTTTTTGTTTTTATGAAGGCATATATTTTACACAATTTTTGTCTCTCAATAGTCCCATTCTGTAGAGTATAAATATTCAAGTATTCGAGAAAATATATAGTAAATAAGTACAAATCACAGGTTTCTCCGTAACGGTATAGAAGCAGCAATCGGTTTGTCATTTCGTATGTAATCGTGACCCCTTGCGAGTTTCGTTTAGCACAGTGATGCATATTGTTATTCGATGTGGCAGAATAGGACTATGTGTAAAAAAGAAAAAAAGTATATCGCTACAGAAGAATGATAGCCCATATTAAAAATTGTAACTAAACTGAAATTCCTACGAAGTAAGTGGCTTACATTAACCGTATAAATGTTCGATATCATTCGTAAATTGCTATCATGAATCAAATTCGCGTGTAGTTCCGCCAAACATTTATAATCCCTTCTTTAAAAGCATATTTGCATATGGTTCTATAGCTTGCGATACGACTTGGAAACACATACCATCGATACGAGCGTTACACCATTGTTACTAGATGAGGCACAATAGCGCAGCGAAAGTATTTCTTTTTTTTTCCTTGTTAAGTATAACTTTGTAGTCTAGGTACTCTATGTAATGTCTCTAATTAGACTTTACACATTTGGGAAATTATAAATATATATTTTCACATGTATGTGTTATGTATATATGTATATATGTATATATATATATATATATATATATAATTTATACAATAAAACCGAGAAATGGTGTTATCGATTAAATTCGAAACAAAAAGGTTCGAAATACGTTAGTATCTTTACATATATTTAGTGAGACGGTGTGTTAGTAAAAATAGAGAGTTCATTCATTCTCTGCGCGCGTATATAGGATTTTTATATTTATATTTCTAATATATTACTTTAAAACTGTGATAATAGATCGTTAACTTTGTTAATTCCAGGATATTTCTTTTCATAACCAGAAACGGTAATATACTTTGGTATATGTATATGCTTCATCGTGTGAGTGCGAGAATGGCCTTGACGTATAGTTTCCTTTCTCATCTTTCTCCCCAACGAAGACGTCTCTATGGATGCGAATGGAAAATGATCGCAAGGGTCAAAGACGAATCGGTTTGATATGCGTTATTCCATTGTCCGCATGTGAGATTGATTTATCTATATTTTTATACGCACACGCGCGTGCGTGCCTGTGTGTACGCATGCACACATGTTGATGGAAAAACGTACGGATAACGCGATAGTCGATCGCGAGCCATATGTAACAAACTCGAATTACAAATTTAACGATGCATCTGTTTGAGCGTACGAGTCGCGCACGTCTCGTTCAAATCCATTCTACACTCAACATATAAAATTACAAGTCACATGACGCTCACAAAGCACAATAATGCCGCAAGAAACTAAACTCAAGGCCCCCTTGCTATATACGTGCTATAAATTCATCTTTTTAAATTATTCGAAGAAAATATCAGTACATAGTTTCTTGGACACAACTTTTCCGTGTATATACAGATGATTGACAATTTTAAAACTAAACGATCAGGTTTCCCACTCTTCTCTCGTATGAAAAGTATCGCATTCTACACCATAGACCAATGTTCTCATAATCCGCATCGGGAAGTAGTAGTAAATGAAGAGCAAGAAACGCCGATCAAAGTAAATATTCTGAGCGCTAATTTGCTAGATCTACAAAAATATATAATTGTGTATATATGTATATATGTGTGTGTGTGTGTGTGTGTGTATATATATATATATATAAAATGTGTGTGTATTATATAGAGCAATATTACGCGTTCTTATCAACATGGCAAGAGGGTATGACAGAAATACTCTACTAAGTTTCTTGTCGAATTCGACGAATTTCATTTTGTCATCTACCGCGCATACATTGTAATACAGAAATGACTTTGTACATTGTTGCATGAGGAAAGTACATATACTCTCGATGAAGATAACGTTAAATTTTGTTCGTGTGTGAAAGAGCTATGCAAGCGGTATAAAATGTATATATTATTTACTCTATTGTGCAAACTTCACAGTGATTAAATATTTCAAGGTTACTGCTCTTTTAAAATATCCTCAAATAAATGCACATACACATATAATAACATGTATACTCTCTATATTAATATCTTTCTTTACATTATTTATATTATATTAAAACTTGTACCCTTTTTTATATTAGTTCCCGTATTATCTAATTTTTCATTTTCACCTCACTTACACGTCTCTGCATCTATTTCTTAGTATAATATCTCTAAACCCTCTGCATGTGTGTATAATAATATTCATATAAACACTTTTTCACACTTTTTTCTGATGGAGAAACTTATAATAAAGTCCAACAATAGTGATGGTTATAAAAGGAAAGCTTGTTAAACGATGAAAAGATAATTGACTATAATTGGGATTATTTGTAAACTATACAAGAATTTGCACCTTCTCTCGAAATATGCCATTAATTGTAAAAACAATTCCCTGCGTTTGCTATGTAACGGAAATTTGTCCAATCTCTCTCCTATATTCTAAATAAAATATCGTTCGGAAAATAGGAGTGCTTGTTAAAAATCAAGATCGCATTTGTGTAACTATCTTTAGTTCCCTGTAGTTGATATTATACTTGTACTATTTTATTAAAATTATTAACTGGCTTAATTTGCAAATGAGTAATTTGCAAACAATAACGAAGCTTAATTAAGTAAGCTTACAATTAAGCCTGTTCGTTCTAACGATACAGCTCTTAAGTTTCGGCCACACATTTATCCCAACGCAATTAAATAAATCTAATCTTTTAGAAATATATATCCCTTCGATAAATACATAATCTGTTTGTGAAAACTATTTCAATGGTTTCCGCAAAATCACTGAAGCTATGACGAATAAAGGAAATTATTTTAACATAGCTTGAGCTTTAAACAAATAGCACGAATAGATAAATAGGTTGATAAAGAAAGAGGAGGAAAGGAGAGAAAGAAAGGAGGAGTGGATAGAGAGAGAGAGAGAGAAAGAGAGAGAAAGAGAGAGAAAGAGAGGGGGGGGAGTTGGATAGATAGACGGAAAAACTTACGAGATTACGTAATATTCAATAAATTTACGCCAAAACAATACCATGTAATATTTAATCAGTTTACGCACTAATCTGTTACCAATCGTAATTTACCATATAGAAGTATGCTAATTACATCCTTTATGACAAACTTGGTTCTGTCAAGTTTATGGTACAACATTGTAGCAATTTTGCTCCATATTGATGGGATTTTCTTACATTAAAAATTACTATTAAAATCAATATGTTCTCGGTAAGTTCTGCATCTTTGTATGCACATGGAACATGTCTTATTATTATAATTGTACATTTGATGCAGCATGTGTGTATGTACGTGTATATGTGTATATGTTTGTAGAAAAAGAACAAGGGTTAGTTATGACAAAGGGACGTACCCAACACTTACACTATCCGCTTTGCTGGGACATACCTCCCGAAACACTTTTTCTATGAAGGGCTGCCTGAAAAAAGAAAAAACAAAAGATCGTATCATTACTTGGCTTTGTAAAATTCCTGAGAATATGTGTAAATTCTGATATATACATTCGCAGATATACGTAGAGAACTCAAGTATAAATCGATCAGCAGGGCTCTTGCGACAGGAATCTAATTATATTCTGGAATCTAGCCAAATTGATGAAAGACTGTTGACTCGGCTGTATTTGGTAGTAGTAACGCTAACGCTTTACAGTGATCTCATTACAGAGATAGCAACAAGTTTATCAGTTCTTTCCGATAGAAATGCGCGCGACTAGCTTTCTCTTTTGCTATGCAGCAATGTGTTGCAGATATTTCTCAAAACATATTTGAAAACAATTACACACACATACTTATTATGTAAGTACGATTGCCCATTTCTACTATTAAAATTATGTAATATGCAATTGCATATAGAAAAAACTAACCCTTTGTGAAATTGGAGATACAAATTACTTACAGGTGTAAAATATATATTTTTTTTTTTTAAATATAAGCTTGGACATGTCCCTTAACATGTTACATCTATAAAAATTGTTTTATAACGATATTAAACTCACTTTGAATGAAGCCCTCCACCAGGAGGCAAATGAGGAAAGTCTTGGTCGCCTCCTCTAAGAAGTTCAAGCATTTTCAGATAATCGAATTCATTCTTATCCTCCTCTGCAGCGACTATATCTACAAAGACACAATACAGGTATTAAGATGAGTTTCTCTCTCTCTCTTTATCTCTCTCTCCTGCACGCACGCAGGCCCACACACACACACACGCGCGCGCGCGCGCGCGCACAAACTTGAATAGTTAGATATTAAAGTTGGATATCAAAATATGGATATCGTGATTACAATTAATTAAATGATTTTTAGATTTTGTGCAACAATTTTAAATGCTGTTTTGCAAGTATATGCTTAACGAAATGTGCTTAACGTATGAACGTAAGTATTTATATAATTTTCCATTGAATGTATCCATGATAATCTGCCTTTGTTCTATTAAAGTAACTGTCGTCTTGCATACTTGTGTATGATTACAAGTATATATTTTCAATCCTAAAGAACATTTAAAAATGAGTGAATAATAATTGTAATAAAAATTGTAGACTATGTTTGTATGTACGCTAATTACGATTATATTAATTGCAGAGGTCTTTACATGCAATTTATTAAGATGCGGGAATAATATAACCAATTGTAAAATAATCAACAAGGATCGAGATATGTAATATGGCTGTATCGTGTACATGCATCTACTTGGAACTGGGAGAATAAATCATACATATTACATTTCTTATGGAAACAAATATTCCGTAAGTAGATACATTTCAGTGAAACTTTTTAGCAAAATCAATGTATAATGCAAATGTCCACCTCTGGAATTGTGTGCCTACATATATTGCAAGACAAATGGAGAGGGAGAAAAGAAAAAAGGTCCGTTGCAATATTCATCCATAAGAAATGCATTGTTGAGAAAGTAATATCAAAAGTGTAATCTTTGTAAAAAAATTTGCACCTACCTGTGACACAGTTTACACGTATACTTAAAAAAAAGAAAAAAAAAAGAAGAACAAATAATTTTCTTTATAATGTTTTCTGTATAATGTAGTTTTGCAATATATTTGACTTTAAATTTATCAATTCCAAGGGTGGAATGCGTCTCTTTGTGACAATAATTATATATATCGGATGAATGTAATATTTGAAAAGCCGTTTGAAAAACAATCTAGTGATGGCCAAAAAAATGTTAGATTTTGTTTTTTAACACACACACACACACACATACGTACGTACATATATCTTCATTCTTACGTTATTCTTACTGCATTATCTATTTAAGTATGTTAAATTGATAAAGAATGTCATATTAATATTTGCCAATAACTCCTTTCTTGCGGCCATATGGTAAAATAATTTACATTAATATATTTTACGTGATTATATTTTCTTTTGAAGTCTTTAAAAAGATGATATAAAGGACTGATTGTAATCGTAAATGTCGTTAGGATTATTATGTCGTTAGAACGTATATTTATAGCAATACTGATAACTAGAAAATAAAAGGAAATGTGTTACGCTACGATATAATGTGCGATCTCTAATAAGTTTTATGATAGAACATATTTCAGTCCTTTTAATAAGAGCTCTCTTATTAATTTAGCGACATGGCATATTGACATGTATAGCAGAAGTTATTAGTTTTCAATATGTATGTGTGCATATGTGCGTGTGTGCGTGCGCGCGCGTGTACGTACATATACATACACATATACATATATAGTTAGATATGCACAATTTTAACAACATGAAACCTGAATGAATAACAATTTATTGAAACACACACATAATTGCACTCGTTTTTACGTTAAAGACTTAAGTTATATACCATAAGTGTATAATTTTACAATTAAAACTTGGACAAAATACTCGTATCAAGGGAAATCACGAAAGCTCAAAAAACGATTGATGCACCATGTTAGACATTATTTAGATAAAATTTCAACGAGTATGCACTTTTTTATCGACACACGGGACAATATTATAAAACAACTTTATAAACTTTTCTGGCAAACATATGTATCATATCTTATATATGGGACACAAACTTTATTAATCACATAGTGCAATGTTAAAAAGTGGGAATCGCATGTTGCGTGACTGTTGTTACATGTATAGTTTGTACAACTAATTGTGCAAGTTTTAACACTTGAAGAATTTAGTTATGTAATCACTGTTATGTTTTGCGTACATATTTTATACCAGAAAAAAATGTCACTATTACGGAAAGACACATTTTTATTACTGTGGTAGTAGATGGCTTTATGACTAGCTATATCTTATGGCATCTTATGGCACATGTATAAAATTCATACATGTATAACTTTTCTCCTGTTTAAAACACAACATCTAACACAATGACAAACTGATTTATCATTTGGTAGGATTTCTCTAGCAATATTATAATACTATGACTGCTCCCGGGTAGTCGTGTTATAATATTTAACTACTTTTTGATATTGTTCAAACATTTTTGTAAATATTTTCTTTTTGTCACTTTGTTCATTATAATTGGCTACTTCACACTTGTGTAGATTTCTACGAGATAGAAACAAAGAAGAATTAAATGTGTCTACACTATACACGGAGACAAGAATATTAATTTACCATTATATCGCTAGTCTGCATATTATGTGTGGCACTGCGACCTTGAATTAATGCAACAACAGAAAGAATATAATGAATGTAAATATGGAAAAGTGAAAGAACCTTTAATCCTCCTTTCTAACGCCATTTCCAGCTCAGCTTCCTGTCTCTGTGCCTCAGGACTTGGTTTCGGTGCAGCCGGAAACGTCACCAAAACTATGCTCATATTATCTTTACTACCCTGTAATAAAGTTTCTCGCATAAGAACACTCTTTATACTAAAAGGAAAAAAAGAAAACGATTGGAATGTAACGCTTGCCTGAATCGTCATTGGAAAGAGTAGAATTGTCTTGAGGAAAAAATTCAGACTTGTTGAAGATATTGCACGCGTTACATGATGAAAAATGAGATATAAATGTGACAAATAATTGGGAAAGGGTTGTCTTGTATGTGGAGAAATTGATAGATTAGCTTATTGATCGATAGACTGGTGGATCGTACCTTGTAAAGACACGTGTCTATAACCAGATTGGTAACTGCCTCCAAATCATCCGTTACCAGTAGCCTTGAATGTATAAAATCACATAAATCTTCGTTGTTCATTACATCCCATATTCCATCACACGCTAAAACTAGAAACTCATCGTGCTTATCGTCTCTGTCTCGCACAAATATTTCTGGTTCCGGCGACACTAACTGCTCGCAGGGGCCACGGTCCGCGAGATTTTTGTACTCGTAGTCGCCCAACGCCCGAGACACCGCCAGAGAGCCGTTGACTCTCTGGATCATGACGCTGCCGCCCGCGTTCTGGATCCTCTCCTTCTCGGCGGGTTCCACGGGCTTATGATCGCGCGTCCAGAAGACCGGCGCCCCGGCTCTGCAGAGCACCGCCCGCGAGTCGCCGCAGTTGGCGATGAAGATGTTCTTCGGGGATATGAACGCGCAGACCGCGGTGGAGCCGGACTTGTCCGTACCGGAGCTCATCTCGGGCAGGAATCTCATCTGATGGTCGAGCCGCAGGAAGCCAGAATGAATGCCCTGGATCACGTCCTCGGCCTTGAACTCTTGCGTCTGCATGATGCACTCCAGCAGGTTGTCCGCGCTGTGCGCCGACACTAACGCACCCGCGTGGCCGTCGAACACCGCGAAGTAGCTCCAGTCTGAGAGGCCACCGTCCAGACCGGTTATGGCTCGGTGAGCGTCCTCCATCTCTATCCGCCAACCCTGCATGCTGGCGACCGCGTAACGCAGGCCGTTGCCGGTGCCGTGCTCGTTGCACTTCTCCGTCTTCGGAGTGTCCAGAAATGCCCCCATAGCGCTAATCGAATATCTATCGTCTGACTGCTTTGTCGCTCGCTCTATTATTTCAGCATCCTTCTCTTCCGTGCAAGTCTTCACCTAAAATTCAAACAATTGTGTAACGACACAAGGTCTCGCACACGTTTCCGCGGAGCTAGCTGCGCACCGGTGAGTGACGCGAGCATCCGATCGCTTACGCCACGCCGCGCTATGCTACGTTTTCACACGCGATACACGCCAGCGACGAGCGGGGCGCACATATCGTGACGCCCGACATCGTCATTCGCGCAGCGGGTACGAGGTAAGGCGCCAGTGACGACCTGACGAGAAGCGACGAATTATCGCGACTAAAATAGTCGACGCGGCGAGGACGAATTGGGAACTTACGTTGGTGGACCGTGACCAAGTATCATCGTCGCTTCGGATACTATACGAGGCGCGTGGAAGCCACCACCGCCGCCGCGGCTGCTGCTGCTGCTGAACGCGTGATGTATCTCTCTCTCTCTCTCTTTCTCTCTTCCTCTCAAAACACTCGCATCGTGATTCCTGCAGATCGCAAATATCCACTGTCTCACAGCACGTCCCACTCGGTTGGCTGGGATGGATCGCTCTCGAACCTGCACACACAGAACAACGAAATCGACTCGCATGAATGGCGGATACTCACGGCACCCGGCGCGACGCGCATGCGCCAGTTTATTAATAGCGGCCCGCACATCTGTCGTCATCGTCGGCCAATCGGCGCCGCGCCGTTTCCGTTCGGCCGATTTCGTCTCATAGGGTCGTCACAAAGAGGTAAAATTAACTCTCCGTCGTGCGCGCGCGTACACCGGAACGAACTCTCGAGAGTGCGAATGGACTGAGAGCGTTCGCGCGCGCGCGCGCGCGATTTCGCAGCCGGCTGAATTTCTCCTTCGCGCTCATTTGTTGTACATATTGTTCGTTCGCGCATCGATTAACGGCACGCGACACCGCGTGGCATGATTCCGTGATCGCGATCACGCTCGCGCCGTACACACGTCCAACGGATCGGTTTATTGATCCGCTGCAATATAACCGATAGGAATTCCGCAAGACCGTTCCACGGATTATTGGATTAACGTTATTTACAGCTAGATACACCCCACGTTCGTTTGAAAGCGTCCCGCCTCCCTCTCTCTCTCTCTCTCTCTCCCCCCCCAACTTTATCGTTCGGTCATCGACGACGATTGTTCGATCTTCTCAACTCCCAACGCATTTCGCGTATCCGTACACACGTGCGCGCGTAACGAGAGTTCCGAGGAGAAGAGTACTATTGCTCGACCCAGTTTCAAATCATCGTGAGAAAGTGGAACAAGTCGTTCGCGTGATATTTGAATAAGCTCCTCGCGCGACACATGCGTGGAAGCGAGAATTGAAACGTGGGGGCCGTTTGAACATGCTTTTATTCTTACATCGTTGTATCATCTTGCGATCGAAAAGGGTTTGGCGAAGTTGTCTGCAAAAGAAAGCCAGTTTTGTGCCGCTACGCGCACTCAAAATTTTAAATACTACAAACTACAAATACATAAGACTATTATTGACACTTTGTACAAGGATATTTTTTTTTACAAGTTCATAGAAAATGTATTTCCAACGAAAGAGACCGACAAAAAGTTGAATGTACACCCTGTGCACTGTTCTCTGCAATAAATTAATTTAAATAGTTCCCTAGTGTATGAAGCTTAGATTAACGAAGGAGATGGTGCTTCGCAGAGTTGAAAAACATTTAGCTAAACAGTTATTTCATTTTCGATACAAAGCCGAGATCTCTAGGAATCATGAACTGCTTGATAGCATCTTCCGTTATCTTGCTCTTTGCTTCTTGATGCGCGGCCACGAGTCGTTGCAATATCTCGATCAATTCCTTCTTAAGTTCGCCCGTTAAAATCTCCCCACTAGTGTAGCCCTGCAAGTAAAACAAATTATAATTTACCGAATTAAAAAGAAATTTTGCTTCAGGTGAACAGATTGACAAGAGAGCTCGCCTTTCGGATCTCCTCCAGTCGCACATCGTCCTCCAGGAAGAATCGCAGCCACTGGTAGGAGATGTCGACCTCGCAGTTTCCACCTAGCTGCCGGTGCTCCTCCACGGTGGCCTGGCCACCGGAGAAAGCGTGCTTGTTGATCTTGTTCTTGATCTGCTTGGCGGTATCCGTGAGAAATATCGCGGTGTTGCTGTCGCTCGCCGACATCTTCGTCTTGGAGCCTTGCAGCGCCGGGAAGAAGCTGGAGTGCAGCAGAGCCGGCTTGGGGAAGCCGAGCTTGGGCGTCACGTCGCGGGTCATGCGAAAGTACGGATCCTGATCGATCGCGCACGGTATCAGGCAGTGCACCTTAGCGTCTTTGAAGATGAAGGGGAACGAGCTGGCGACCGCCGGCGCCGCCTGCGTCGGTGGGAAAGCGATCTTGCCGATCGGGTCGCTGTCGCCGAAGCCGAAGATGCCCTTCACCTGGTTGAACGTTATGCATCTCTGTATGCGAATCATATTCTGGTAGAAGGCCGAATTGTTGCCTATGTGCTCCAAATTGGAGAAGATGAAGGTCTTGTCGGGATTGAAGCCACATGCGATAATGTCTCTCGCGTTGCTATAGGCCAGCTTAATGGCATCCTCTATCTTGATGTTCTTCCATATAGCTTTCTCATCGTCCGTCAACTGTATTACCAGAGGCACGTCGAACACATCCTGCAACCATTTGCAGAACATGAACGGTATGAGATGGCCTAGATGCATCGCGTCGGAACTGGGTCCTCTACCTGTGTACAGGTAAAACGGCTTCCCTTGCTCGTAGAGATTCAGGATCGTGTGCATATCTCTGTGAGAAAAAAATATGCCCCTTCTTAGAAAGTGGTGCGGCTTTTTGCCGGTTGCCTTCTCGAATCTGGCCAACAATTCGTCGTCGATCTTGGAGCTGCCGAATCTTTCTGCAAAAGGAACAAGCATGTTATCTTCAAAAATCGCCAACTGGTCATCTAAATGGTCTTTTAGCTGAATCACCTTTGGAACAAAACAAGAGGCATATGTTAGGGAAAAGAGTGCAACGATGCAGCGCTAGTTGGATCCGAAAGAAACAAATTTATCATTTGCTTAGCGCCTTGTCAAGAGTATAGAGCCACAAAATCGTGACATTCTTCCTTTCTTTTCGGTAATTATTCTTTGCGAAATACACTCACTGATCAATTTGTCGTAGTCGATCCCAGAGTCATTTGTACTCGCAACTATCCACGGTGTCACGACATCCTCGTCTTCGGCGACGCCGTTTTCCACTTGAATCTGTCCATTTCCCGTCGTCATATTTCGTTCCTTAAGTACTTTTCTTTTTGTAAATTGCAAGCAAAAACGATTACACGCGACTCACGCAATCTGACTTGTACGCACCGTCACCAACTGTCAATCAAGCCTCGCGAGAGGTTATGTCGTCGCTTTCACTTATATGACGCGCACACAGTACACCGCCACGCTCAAGGGTCTCGTTAATCACCTTGATTACTGGGCTGCATTGTGTTATTGTAATGATCACTGGGCTACGTTCTACAACTCTACTCGACGGATAGAGTAGCATTTAATTGACCAATAAGAACAAAAATAACTAGAATTTCTTTATCATGATTGGTCAATTAAACATACTCTACCCACCGAGTAGAATTTTGGAACACAACCCTGCACTTTCGTATCCAGCTGCATATAGTAACACGGTAGTAGTCGGTATTGTAATTTCCTTTTTGAGATTTACTCACCCTATGATAAAACGCGTATATATACCATAATATGAAAGCACTCTGTCTAACCTATTCCGAAAAATCTTTGTTATACATATCTCAACTTTTGAGATTTTTTGTATCGTGACTCTCGTTATCAACGGCATTTGCAATTTCAATAATTACACACTGGACACATTGTGTTTAAGAATGAAATTTCTGTGAATAGAAACGATAACAAGAATATAGATGCTAATAAACTAATAATTTTAGCAAAGATACATTTATTGATAAATAAGGCAGGTACACATAAACAGTTTATAGCTCTTGATATATCACTTCCCAACGTAACTTTATCTCTCAACTGCTTCGAGAGGTATTACGCTGCAACCCAAGAGACCTTCACCAGTCCAAGGACGTGGAGTCAAGGACAAAACTGTGATATCTGACTTGCGTTTTATCTTTACATTGATTGCTCTGAATTTGCTGTTTTCTGCCAGCCTTTTAATGTCTGTTAAAGTCTTGAAGTTTCGGTAACGAATCGATCCGAATTCCAGTATAAGATCTCCCACTTGAAGTCCCTGAAAAAAAGGAACGACTTCATCTCAATGCCTAAAGTCGAATAAATTTAATGGGCCAAGTAAATAAAAGTCATGCTCTGAACCATATATATATTATATATGTAGATTATATATATAGATTATATATAGATTATATATATATATATATATATATATATATATATATATATATATATATATATATATGTTTTATCTATCTACAAATATATTATTTATATAAAAAGTGTTTTATATTATTTTTGTAATGACATATTTTGAATAAAAATTAGCAGTTTTAAAAAGGCTAGAGTTAGCCACACATGATTTGTGCCGAGTTAAACATCAATTAGAAAAACAAATGTACTGCGCAAATATAAATATATTGACAAGATCTCATAGCAAAAATATAGAAACATACTGCACTTTCTGCTGGTGAACCAGGTGAAACTAAATTCACTCTAAGAAAAGGCTCTGATGTTTCTGTCTCACAACTGTTTGTGTCATCAATTACATCAATTGCAGCCTGTTGTACATCGCTTGCCTTCATTAAAGTGTGAACTTTGTGTAGACCCTCCTCAATCTTTGTCATCAATGCCTTGTGATCATTTGTAAGACCTAAACATCAATCATCTTTTCATGTGAACTCGATCATCAATCGTATAATTTTTTTCTTCTAGTATGAAATTGAGAAGAGTGAATAATTTGGCGATGTTCAAACGCGATCATGAATTCTTTTTTTTAATGTAAGATGATATTCACGCACATATTACGTCGTGTCTCGCACGTCTCACTTGATAAACGTCGATATCCTGTCTAGGATATTGCTCAGAGTCCACCAATGGTTCGCTCATGTCGACATGATTCTGCAATTATTCAGTAGAATGACACTTCAATAGAAAGTATGACAGGTCGTAACAGTGATAACGTTAAAAGGCACACATACGCTGTCCAAGATCTCCTTTAGCGTTCGCAGTTCGGATTCGATCTTGTCTTTTTCTTTCATCAGCTCAAATACCGCGGCTTTAGCTTCTTGTAGCTCCATGTCGACCACCATGGTTGTTCCGACCATCCGCTGCGTCTGATATTTTGCGTCGCATGCGCGAGCGATCAGGTGCGTATTCGCGCCTTTTGGGGCCCACGGCAATACACTCGACACTTTGGATGCGTTCAGAAAACATATGTATAACCGTTGAATGATTATCAAAGTATTCTTTTAGATCTATGATATATCCACAAATGTTGGAGGAACGCGCTATTTTCGCGAATTTCTGGTTTCGGTCATGATACTTTACAACAAATGGTCTGTTCTTTTTAGCTGTATTGCTAAACTAGTGCAATAAGTTAAACACTTATACTTTTTCTAACTTATTACATTAGTTGAGCAGTGCAGCTAAAAAGAACAGAACAAAAATGACTGCTTCCGTTTTTTTAGCTATTATATACAAAATAATTTTTTTTTGAATTTCAATAAAAAATAACATTTTCAATGTTTACAATTTTTAACTGAAACATAACCTTCAAGTATTACGAAACTCGAATATTTATTACAAATGCATTTAACTTACCTGAATTAATGAAACTTATTTCTAAATAAATTATTTATTTATTTGTTCACGTTATTTTATGTGTTTCTTTTTTTTTACATTCTTTACATATTCCCGTATATTGGAAGTACTATACGTGCAGAGTACTAAATAAAGTAATTTCTTTCATACATATGTGAATATACATGACACTTATAGCTTTAAAAATAACGCTTTGAGATAGCGCGCCTCGTAAACCACCGTACGCTTGCCTTGTGGAACGACATTGTGTATATCTTGCACATCAAACGGCTGTTCTATTACAGTCATAATGTCTTTGCCATAAACTGAAATCCCCAAGAAATGAATGAATTGCCGTGATTATCGTTATAGATTGCAAATATTCTCACATACCTTCACAATGCTCTAAGAACTGGATGCACTCCTGCAATGTAGAGTCTTTCAAAACCACCAGTTGTTTGGCCAATTGTTCCAAAAGAGACAGAAAGCATCTCTTCGCGTAGAACCATGTATCGGTGCCGAGTTTTTTATTGTAAGGCTCTAAACTCTTCATAACCCTCGATATGCCGAACTCGTAGTTACCCTTGGAACAGTACAACGTGCCGATCACCAGATTCACGATACACAAGTGGAAAAGTTTCTTATCCTGGTCCTCGAACGACACCGCCTCTTCTTCCTTCTCGATCTTCTTCATCAACTCCTCGGCTTCCGCATTCTGCGAAGTCATGATATAACTGACGCACAAGTTGGCGAGAACTATGGCGCTTACGTCCAGGATCTGCAAATTAAATTTTTAATCTAGAGAACCCTGGCTTCTCGCCGCGGAGCTCTTTATCGATGTCATCATAAGCGAGGAAACCCAAAATTCCTGCGTAGCATGTCGAAATAGAGATATAAAATAACACTTGTACTCGATTAAGCACATTAAGCTCCAAAATACTTGAAGCACCTTCCTTTTGCTCTAACAAAGCCATCGCAAAATTAACGTGATAAAATAAGGAGAAAGTGTAGGTTAAAAAGGAAAATTGCACGTTACGTTAATTTTACAGTTATCTATTAGAACTAGAGGGAAGTGTATTTTATTGGTGTGCTTAATCGATTATAAATGTTTTTTATTTTTTATTTCGGCATCACTTGATAAGAATTTTGAGCATGCATTTTTTCCATGTTTCGGATGTCATAAATCAAGATGGCGAATAGTTGGGAACCTCGAACGCGTAATAAATAAACACGTGTTGTAACGCTATCGACGGTTACTGTGGAGATAAACGTTGTTTCTCTACTAACATTGTCGTATCTCTTCTTGACGATCGGCTCGTAGAAGCCTGTCGCCTCCTTGAATTTGTTCTCCTGCATAAAGAGAGTGTGCGCAACGTTCAACTTCCATACGTCGTGCTCGTTACAGAACTCGACGCTTTTTCTGAAGATCTTCTCCACCTGAATGTAATTTTCCAGATCCCAGTAAATTTTCGCTTGCGCCATCAGAACCGGCACATATCGGTCCAGAGCTTCCTCGTAGTCATTGACGGCCTTCTTGACGGCATTGTCGTCGTGATTTAGTCTCGCCTCTTGCACCTGCTTCGTCGCTTTGCGCAAAGTTTCCGTGTGCTTATTAGCGAGATCGTCGAACTTGCGATATGCCTCTTCCGGCGACGTTTGCTGCGTTATAAGCGCGTCCAAGAAATCGTACAAATACTGGAAATCAATAAAAAAGATTTTTTCAGTGAACTTGAAATCTCTCCTACGTATATTTCCAGTCACAAATATCATTGCAAGTAGGTTACGCCTCTTTCGTAAAGCTTTTGTAAACACTATTTTTCTATATCGCTTAAACGGACATATTCAAAATGAGGTAATGGTTATCACCTGCGCACAGAATGAAATTGGCTGGTGCCCCCTAATAAAGAATACCGAGAAGCGATATTAGTGTTTACGGCCCTGAGTGTTGTTACAAGCTTAACCTGTAGACCGATATTATCATCGATTACGATACTCGTCGTAACGCACGTCGTCAATTGTGCAAGCTGGACAATCGCCCCGTCTAGGATAAATGTTCAAAGCGACATGGCCGAATTGAACCAGATATTCCTCGGTGAGGTCACGTCCGTTCAGAATTACGGGGCTTTCATCAGAATACCGGGTTGTTCGCAGCACGGCTTGATACACCGGTCACAGGTATTTACGTCCGACATCAGGTCTATTCTTTTTAGCTGAACCATCTGAACTGATGCGATAAGTTAGAGTGAGACATTTTGTTTGTTCAGGCAGCTGAACAGACTTGTTAATATCGATATATCTCTGTTGTGATGTAGCGCGCTAATTTGTACGCGATTCCATCAGGTGAGCTCTACTCATGTCGACACAGTGGCAGAGATTTTGCAGAAGGGCGAACGGGTCTGGTGTAAGGTGATCTCTATGACTGAGGACGGCAAGATAGGCCTGTCCATGAAGCACGTGAATCAAGGAAACGGCGAGGACCTGGATCCCAATGGCGTGGAGTTGCAACGGGACATACAACGGAGGAAAAATCCAGGCATTGTTCAACGTAAGGTCATACAGTTGGAAGCGATACTGGATACCATCTGCACAAAGTGTGGCACCAAGGGACACTTATCCAGAGACTGTTTCGTGTCGCCTGATGGAAAGAAGTACGAACTAATCCCTGAGATTGAGGAGGAAAGCGTCCAGGAGCAGACTGACGAATGTAAGGAGAAGAGACCGGAGAAGAGACGCAAACTGAAGAAGCTGAAGAAGGAGAAGAAGTCAAAGAGGAGCAAGCGATCTGCAGACAACAGTGATACGGAAGAGAAGGAGATCAGTAAAAAGAGGAAGAAGAGCAAGTCTTCCAAGGAGCGCAAGAGGCATAGGAAGAAATGCAGCAGCAGCAGCAGCTCCAGCGATTCCTCCGCCAGTATATCCTCCAGCCACGATGTGAAGGCTCACAAACGAAAACACTCGGACGACCATAATAATACCCGTACGAAGAAATGCAAGCATTCTAAGTTTAAGCATTCAGATTGATTTCAATTCTCTCGATTGTTACACACGTTCGGACAGTTATTCAATAAACAAACGAAACTCACTGGTGTCAGGTACTTGTAAGTTAGATGTACATTCTCGGCCAGAACATCGGCGGCCAGGTCGTAGTACTGATACTTGCAGTACAGGAGCAACAGATTGGCAAAAGTTTCAGGCGGGAATGGATTTTGCTGCAGCAGGAACTGCAGCTTCTCGAATCCCTCGCTCGGCTTCGTGTCCATGTTTATCAGCGCCTGATTGTGCAGCGTGACAGCGTCGAGCTCTTCCTCCGAGCGCGGCGGCATGTCGGTCAGCGCCTCCTTCGCCGCATCGTAATTTTGCAATTGGTACTCTATAGCGGCCTTGAGATTGAACGCCTCCGTCAGCGCGGTTTCGTGCAGGGTTAACGTGTTACCGACGCTTCGAACTTCGATACCCTCGGTGGTCATCCCCACGCTTAGCTCCGGATGCTCTCGTATACCTTGCTCGATGATGTTCGCTGAAACACGACGAATTTAGGATGACGGAATGGACGCAACGCAGCGCTGCGAACCTCACCGATGTGTTTCAACGAGGCTGCGTATTCCTTCAATTTGAAATAGCACAGGGCAACGTTGTATGACAAGTGGGGCCTGAATCCTGCGATTTGCAAGGCGTTCGCGAACTTCTTGAGAGCCTGTTCGTATTGCTCCTCCTGGTAGACGCGATTCGATTTGTCATTTTGTTCAAACAGCATAAAGGAGGCTTACTTATTTGTACCTTGTACAGCAGACAGCCAAGATTGATTTCCGTGTCGACGTCATCGGCAGGACATTGGTCCACGAGATTCTTGGCCGCCACCATGTCCTCCTGCCCATACTTTATAGCTGCCTGCAACTTCTTTACTTTAAACTCCAAATTACTCTGATCAATGATGCTCGAACAGACTGCCCACGCCTCCTGATACATGCAAGCCTGATGTAACGATTGAGCATAGTAGAGCTTGTAGATGTTTTCCTCTGGGCACAGTTGAACCAATTTCTCGTAACATTGTGCCGCCGCCACGAAATCTTGCGTATAAAAGTAACAATGAGCCAGGAGCGATAAGCAAGGCCTAGACTGGAAGGACGCTTTGCTTACTTGACAACAATATCTGTATATATAAACTAGAGTTTTGCGTGCCTTATCTTGGAAGGGAAGAGCCAATTTACTTTTGAGAGAGAGAGAGAGAGAGAAATTCTTAGAAATTTCTAAATGTCTACGTTGTTCCAAGACTTACAATTGAAAATTGAAAGTGACTCTTTTTCTTCCAAGATATCACGTTATATTGACATACGTACATTGGGATAAGAATCTAAAAGATTTAACAAAATTTTTATAGTTTCTGTGTATCGCTGTTCTTTTATCTGTAACAAAATAATATTTTGTTAAGGCTAGCATCTTCCTATCTCGAGACTGCAATGTGCATCTTAAATCTGCTTTAGACCTATCATCACTTTAGTGATTTTTTTCGATTAAATTGGTAACGTTTAGCCTAACAAAAATCACACGTATAACGTGTGCATATAACGTTTATATGATATTTATACGTGACAACTGTACCATAGTGTATATCGTTTTTGTGTATTCTCCGTCTTTTATATACACGTTTTCAATAAATGTAGACATTGCGAAAATTACGATACGCTACGAAACTTCAATCGGACTATTCGTTCCGATCGCTGTACAGTTGCATCGAGCACCTCGAATGACATCTGTTTGATCGTATTGTTTTGACATTACGTAGGATACATCGCCATGGAAACGAAGAGAGTTTCAACATATGATTTCAACTTCGTTTTATCAAGCTATGAATTCTCATTACGATTCAGTTGCTCCTTCAACTGTACTCAAATAATTGATACATACATACATACATACATACACACATACATATATATATATATATATATAGGTATTTTATATACAATGACATATATGCAAATATATAATACAGTAGGTAGGTTTATTTACAATGAGAGAATATTTTTAATTCCACAATAATTTGTTCATTTCACACAATTTGTCCTTCTTAATTTGTTCCAAAGTAGTCTTTAAGTTGTCGATTTTGTCTATCATCATTTGCAATTTATTTTCTTGTGTCTTTAGCAAGCAAGTTAGTATGGAAAGATCCTTCTCAAGTATTGCATATCGTTCGTCTGTAAAAGTTGGCACATCCAGAGTTTTTACTTTTTCTGTGAGAACCCTTGTCATCTATAACAAAATATATAAGTTGTATTTTGATGAAAAACAAAATGTGTCAGATAAAAGTACCAATGTCTGAATACCAGCTAATAGATGTATATATTCTTTGTGTTTTATGTTAAAAGTTTAAATACATCTATTTAAAGAACAAGACGATAAAAATGTCGTGGATTAAGTATGTATTCTGACAATGACACTTCTACTTTAACGATTAATATAATTTATAAGGCATGCATACCTGTATCTCATTGGTAAGTTTAATACATTTGTTGAGTTCTTCAGCGCACAGCAATGGGAATCTCTCTCGAGCATCACATACTTCGAATACAGCATCTTCACACTGCTTCTCTAGATCATCTAAACAAATTAATGTAGATATACATATTATTCATTTCTAATTACAATACTAAGAAACATTGTGTAAACGACGAGGTACTTACCCATGTCAAAATATATTTCTCTACAGTCAAGCTTCTATCTCCACATAATGTTTGTGATACAGATTTTTTCCCAGCTTCTCACTGTACTAGCAACCAAACGCACACGAGTATTATTGAAAAAGAGCATATGACAATAAAACAACGATACCGTTATTAACGCCAAACAAATGTTTGAATTGGCTTTAGGCTGATATTACATGTGTCGTACGACAAGCTTTTTAGATACGTTCACTAGTTGACGAACAAAGAACCTAGAAATACTCTATTCGCCAACCAATAAGAGTGCTATTTCACGTGTCGTACGACAAGCTTTTCGGATACGTTTATTGGTTGGCGAATAGAATATTTCTAGGTTTTCTCGTCAACCAATGACGTATCTAAAAAACTTGTCGTACGACACGTGAAATATCAGCCTTATGCAGGATTCACACCGCGTCCGACGTCCGACATCCGATACCCAATAGGAGAACAGCTTTCTAATATAGAATTCAATTCTCCATTGGAAAGCTATTCTTTTATTGGATATCGGACATTGTACGTCGGACATCGGACGCGATGTGAATCCGCATTATGGCTCTCGCAGATCAGTGCGATGCGCGACGCGACACACGATATGCGACGAGCGATATCCAATGAGCGTATTGGTATTCCGAAAAAGCTGTACGCTCATTGGATATCGCGCATCGCATATCGCGTGTCGCGTCGCAAATCGCGCTGGCTGCGAGAGCCGTTATACGGTCATTGTGACTCGGTTTTAACCGATTGAAATCTAGTTATTTCTGCGCAAGATAAAACTTGATATAATTTTTATAGTCTTTTGGAATACATAAATCTATAGCAATATTCTGATTGGTTCTTCAGCTTAAACGTATTATGGTTACTGTTACGGCAATTTGTGTGCGAAAGCCTTTAAGATCGTTCTACATAAAGGTCATTCTATATTAGTTGCAAATCGATTGCAATTCTTGTTACGAAAGCCAATCAGAAGCGTCAATAGCAATTTGTATGTACTTGACCGGAAAAAAAACTCCGGTTGGAAAACTATTCTTTGGAAAACTAATCGTTTGAATTTCGTATGAAGAGTTTTGAAGTGCAATTGAAAAGATTTGTGAGTCATTCTATTATTTGTAATTAATTGTTCTTTTTTGACCATGTATTTAGCCGGAAATAATGACCGCAGGTAAATTAAACAAAGGTTCGGTATGGTATCTTTGTATTTCGTATGAAGAGTTTTGAAGTGCAATTGAAAAGATTTGTGAGTCATTCTATTATTTGTAATTAATTGTTCTTTTTTGACCATGTATTTAGCCGGAAATAATGACCGCAGGTAAATTAAACAAAGGTTCGGTATGGTATCTTTGTATTTCGTATGAAGAGTTATGAAGTATCATTAAAAAGGTTTGTGAGTCATCCAGATAATTTTAATTAAATATTAAAAAATCATATATTTGGCCGAAATATCAATCTCAAGCGCTGCTGTGGAAGTACCGTCAGGCACGATCGGTGTACTATCTAGTATTTCAATACTCATGGTTCATTTTCGGGTAATTATGTATAATAAGGCCTTTTTTGAATTTTGATATTTTTTGCAGATTTTTTTTGATATTTTTGATCTCTTTTGGTAAAAATATTTATTTTGACTCCAACATTGATAATCAATCGTGGGAGTCCGAAAAATATGCAAGTTATATATTGTTTTAACTTTTTTTTTATTTTTTTTTCACTTATCAAACGTTGCTGTTTTCCCACAATTTAAACAAGTTACTGATCTTTTAATCATATTATGTAACTGCAATATCGAACAACTAGCTGCGCCTCCCGCACCCCCCTCAAAAGTAACTAATCCATCGTCACATTAACCGTCAGTCATTGTTTATTAAAGTATTCAACTTTTTTTCTTAATAATTTTTTAATAATTCTTAATAATTTTTTAAAAACTTAAACAGTAAAACGTAATCAGTAAGCAAATTGACCAATCACAGTTATTGATTCTTCTTACGGTCCAACGACTGTGAGGGCCGTGGCACACAGAAAAACTTAAGCAGTAAGACGTAAGCAGTAAGCAAATTGACCAATCACAGTCGTTGATTCTTGGACCGTAAGAAGAATCAATGACTGTGATAAGTCAATTTGCTTACTGTTTACGTTTTACTGCTTAAGTTTTTCTATATGCCACCAGCAGACGATTATTTTTATAATAATCGACTACGATTGGCCAATTCTTATGGCTTCTGCACACAGGATGCGGTAATGCTTGCCGCGCGGCGGAAGTCCGCGCGACAGCCAATCAATATGCTACTTTCCGTAATAACCTTCTAGCTCTTACGGAAAAAGAACATATTGATTGGCTGTCGTGCGGATTTTCGCCGCGCGGCAAGCATTACCGCGTCCTGTCTGCAGGAGCCATAAGGCTTGTGTTCACGATGCTAGAAATCGACCCGAGATCTCGATCCGGAGAAACGTGTAACCAATAAAATTGTCGCCTTTCCGTAAAAGCTATAAATGGATTGGTTGCTTTTTTCTCAAATCATCGTGTGGACACAAGCCCTTATGGAGGATTCACACCGCGTCCGATGTCCGACGTACGACGTTCGATATCCAATAGGAGAACAGCTTTCCAATGGAGAATTGAATTCTCTAATAGAAAGCTGTTCTCTTATTGGACATATAAATAAAATACATTATCTCTTATTGGATATCGGACGTCGTACATCGGATATTGGATGTGAATCTGCATTACAAACCGCCACTGAATCGAGATGGTAGTATGATTCAGTCACAAGTCAGACGTGTCTTTATTTTCACATTTTATAAACCCAACGGCGAGTCAAAAGACTTTTCTATCCCTAAACAGACGTGAATAATGACGTAAGTAACTTTTATTTTCTAGCTTTACAGATTAACAGCACGTTGAAAGACTCGACCTTTAGTAAAAAAACTCAAGTAGTACATCTCAACGACATACATTTTTATACAAATTTATTTAGGTACGAATATATCACTCGACTGAACGGCTCAAATATTTCATTGTTATAACAATTGAATTCTCATTGATAAGTAAATTAAACTCGACAACTTAATTGATGCAATTTACTCGCGGAATTCGCTAATCAACTTCGCATTGGTACATAGAGTACAAGAAATTCAACATGGACGTATTCTCACGACTCTAGTCATAGGTTACAAACGTCCCGACATTTCATCGTTTGCCTCTGAACGCGGATGACGTAATTCGCCATCATGTTCTCATGTTTTTCCTGTAGTCATTAATAAAAATGCTATCCTTTTTCCGAAAGTTGTCAATCGGGGGAAAGATAAAGGATGGTATATTACCAGAGAGAATCATGGAAACGGCGGAGGACCTGTCAATTGCGAAGGATCAGAGCGCTCTGATATTAAAGACGGATATCGAATTGAAAGAATCGGTTTACGGCAAGTTGCGCACTATTTGTGTCTTGTATCGTTCCTCGACCTTTCGGATATTGTTTGATGTCGGGTGAAGACGGTGCGACATTGTGTACGACGATTTCTTTATACACCAGTCAAAACATTTTGCCTAGTCATTGACAGATATACAGACATTAATTAAATGGAATATCATTGAATCGTCCGTTAAACTTTTCAACGACTGCGTCTTTGCCGCTTTTCAGATCTCTTGAGGACTATCAAAGATCCGGAGAAACCACAAACCTTGGAACAATTGGACGTTGTGTATGAAGATTGTGTCAGTATTTGTCACAGTACACCAGGAGGAGTTTCTGTAATTCGTGTGGAATTCAATCCTACGGTGCCTCATTGCTCTTTGGCTACTCTTATTGGATTATGCATCCGCGTGAAATTGGAGCGTCAATTGGCAGCGTTGTTTAAATTAGATATATATATCAAGGAAGGTGCGCACTCCACCGAACAAGAAAGTATGTATGTTTCTTACCAGTGTCGGATATTGATCAGTTAAGATTTTCTTTCATCAAATAATTGGCAAATCAATAGTCAGATTAATCAATTGTCATACATGTAGTCACAAATAATTTCATTGTTTGATAAAATTAATCAGTATGTAATAAATTGCATTAAAATTTGTTTAATAATCTCATCAATCTATAAAATTATTTATGATTTTATGTATGATGATTGATTTGAATTTTGATTTGCTGGTTATTTTAGTCAAAGAAGATTTTAATCAATTAATGCCTACAGTAGTATCTCAAGTTCCTCTTGCAGAAGAAAATATATAGAATATATGTTCCTTAAACTGTGCGCATTATATTACAGTAAACAAACAGATTAATGACAAGGAACGTATAGCGGCTGCAATGGAAAACCCAAGTTTGCGGGAACTGGTGGAGAAATGTATATTAGAGGAAGATTATTAACGTCACATGATCGTGATATATATGCTGTTGGATATTTTATATATCAAACTAAACACTTACACTCTGTCAAATGACTATGTAAATAAATAATGTATTTTACTTATATGTACAGTTCAATGCAACTGGGCCCTCATCCTGAACTCTCTTCTATCAATAAAAATGACACTAAATGTGTTTGAGCCAATCAGCTTGTAAGTCCTCATTTAGAGATACTTTTATTGACAAAAGAGAGTTGAGAATATGGGTGTTTAGCAATTCCTCGCGTCTTCGACGTGAGTAAATATATATAAAGAGGAGACACAATATATGAGAGATGTATGTAAAGTCCCTCGGAATAATGCACGTCTGACAAAAGTATTCACTACTAGCATACGCCTCCCACTTTTGTCGCACGAACGATTCTACTCCGAATGATTTCGTAAGTTTCGGCCGACATTCGCGAAATGTCGCGTAATTTCCGCGATATCGCGCATGCTATACCATCATCAAAACCATCATCGTGCGGGTGGCGGAGTTTCCGCTTATTTTTGCCGCTTTTACAATGACTATATCAAGGCAATGTTGCGCGGCGTTGTGCGGCGTCGCGCGGTGTCAGCCGTCAATCGAGTCCAGTCGAGTTTCGAAGCGCAGATCAGCCGGAGCTGCGGATCCGTCGCGCCGCGTCGCAAGTAGTATTCTCCCATAGTGTCATTGTCGTTTTTTGGACAGAAGAACGTTCTCCTCTGGAACATACGACCGATTCGAATCGCATCCATTGCGAGTTTGCGTAAGTGTGCAAGTCAACTATTTTCACGCGAATTGTGAAAGTTCAATTGACGAAACTTTTGTAACTCCACGGATTCGTGAATTTTCAGAAATCCATCGATGATCAATGAACAGCATACAAGTATAAAATGTAACTGAAGATTTTGAAAACTAAATTCTTTGTTACGCTCCGAATTTCATATTGGATATTTTTTTTTCCGATTCTAATAGTTAATCGCCTCACGTTTTTGCTTAAATGTTTTTCTTCAATTTACGACACATATATATATATGAGTGTATGTATGTTTATTTTCTTTTATTTTTTTTAAGTGGATAGAGCTACGGATAGTCGCCGAGATGGGCTTTGGGTTGTCCTCGATCTCGCTTGTCCTCTTACTTGTTATGCACAGCTCACAATTGGAGGATCTTTATGGTACGGTTAACTATTACATAGATTATATTGATAGAGATATGAACTATACTAAATTGATACACACCTAACACGTACGCGATTGTATTATCTTTCAAATAGTTTTCAGAAGAAACAGAATTTTTCTCATGCTTACTGGGATCTACATGTATTGTGACAGTAACGTATCGTGGATTCTAAGGTCAATAGGTCAATTTGATATTTGCGTTTGATACATTCCATGCGGAAAATATGGCGAATAATTGAAATCGAAAAAAATTCCGCACATTCCGCGATGTCGTTGTTATGCACGACTCGCCGATTCAAAATTTACGAATAGATAAGCGATTCACAGTAAAATCCAGAGTTCGGTTGTAGCGTTATCGCGGTTAACGTTAATTTGTTTTCCGTTCTACACGCGTTTACGATGTGTACCAGATAGTGTTTATTGGCATCGTTCAGTAATTCATACATCGTCGCCTCTATCCGATAACACGCACGCGATAAATATTTAAATACATGCACAGTATCGAAATCTATGAGCAATTAGATGCAATGTTAGTGCAATCGCTGTTTTCTACTCCGACGTATCGCATTATAATACTGTTGCGGTGTCGCGGTATGCCATTCCGTTCTTCCCCGCGGCCATCCGAGGACACCGAAACCGGTGGCGGCGCTTTTACCACACCACTACCATCAAATGTGCGATTCTTCACACATGTAATTAAGTCGAGAGCGAAGACTGACGAAAGTCGTCGTTGCAGACGTAATTTTCCAGTGTTACATTATCAATCAGCCGATCAGCCATTGCAATCGCGATTGCGTGCACACACGTGTATGCCTACACGTGCGTCGTCTTTTTATAGCAATAAGGAAATCCCTCAATAGGACATTTATATCTAAAGCCATTTTAATTCAAAGAAAGTGTGAATCACCGGTATCTATCGTGAGAGAATATATTTTGGAGAAAAATTTGTAAGAAACTCGCGATCACATTCAGATGGAACAGAAAATCATGAGAACGTCCAATAACGTCGAAATGATGAAAAAATGATCGAATCATAAGCAAGAAGTGATTGTTATTTTCTCATAATTTTCAAGTTATTGTGATTTTTTGTTCTATCTATACATAGAAAAATATATACTGTACTGAAGTGAAGTGAATGTTACTTGTTTCAACTATTCCATAAGTTTATATTTGTGTGTGTGTGTGTGTGTGTGTGTATGGATAGCCAGTGACCTTATCTTGGGCGCATAGCAAACGCTAAAAATATGCCTTTTCAATTATAAATTTCTTTCTTAAACCTTTTACTTATATAAACATCACGTATAACGGTGTTACAATTTTAGAATCAAAAAGGCATCTTAACGTCTGCTATGCGTTTACAGTGCGGCCTCAGTAGAGTCCTTTCAAATTGGCGACAGATAGCTTTGCGGTGTGCGACGAGAACCGGCGAGATTATCACGGGAACGATGTGTAATCCCCACGAGGAAAGAAATTTATAGGTAGTTCTCATAGTGGGTCAAGTAGACTCGTTAACGCGCGATTAAAAGTGCGGGTTGTTCTGTCGATTATAGTTTCAACGACCCACACTGGGCTTTTCCTGGTCTTGTCTTTCCTCCGCCGATATCCTCGAAACGAGCTTAATTATTTGTGCGCGAAGAGCGTCTGAGGGACGCTCAACGATGTTGACGCAATGTATAAATTCGACGTAATCTCAAATCTATCTGACATAGAAGGCAGCAATTGCAAGCTGGAGGATGGTAATACAGGCGTATGCAAGAAGATACATGACTGTCCGTCCAGGGTACGGGAGGTGCTGGAAGGCAAGAGGTCCTCGGACTCAACAGGACGTTGCGGCTTCAAGAACTATACGGAAATCGTCTGTTGCCCATTCAACATCACCGATAAGATAGGACTTCGGCCGGCGGAAATAGGTATGATGTGTTTCCTTTCTTTCTTCCTTCTTTCCTTCCTCCTTGTTTCCTGTAAGGATAAACGGAAAATTCAGAATAATTCGGTCGCTTTATCTCGTACGGACTGTACTTTACCGGTCCCATGGTACTCAGCCGTACGAATCATCATTTCACGACGAGATATTTTTCCGGCTCGAGACGATAAGCCGATCGGTCAATTTGATCGGCATTCCGCGCATCTACGAACTCGCAGTCGATTAACAACATTCTATCTTTATTCGAAAGAACAGGTTTCTGCCTTCGTGATTTCCGATCGCGGCATTTACTCTCATCGCCGCGTCCGGGATAGGAACTACCGATGGGTTCTCTCTCTTTCTCTCTCTCTCTCTCTCTCTCTCTCTCTCTCTCTCTCTCTCTTTCTCACACATTGTTTATTACCGTTATTGTTGCTGTCGTATCACGAGTCAGTGTACGATATCGCGTTATTTAAAAAATTATTGACGTACAATTCGTCATAGATATTTTACCGTATCCGTGCAAACGTCAACGTAAACGCAGCTAACACGTTTATCGCGCTTTAATGCATGTCGTTAACACGCGCTCTCGTGCGCGGAAATTGCGCGCAAATCGTTTCCGAGAATTAAATAAACAAACAGCCTTGGCGAGGTGAAGACGCGCACGATGATGTAATAATCGGTGACGGTCGTTTCTACGATCCCATCTAAATCCGAGCGGGCCGGAATCCATGCGTCAACACCGATCTCACCGAGCTCCTTTCCGGCACGTTGTGGAAGCAGAATAATGGTCAAGACATACGAATTGCAGCGTGTCGTCAGTACGAGAATGACATCGCTACTAACGGTAAGCCGCGGGCCGAGGAGGTGCAATTCAATATATTCAGCGGTATGCCGGCCGAGCGAGGGGAATTCCCGTACATGGTTGCTCTGGGTTACGAGAACCAGGACGACGACAATTCGGGGCCCATTAAGTACAGCTGTGGCGGTACGTTGATATCCTCGCAGCACGTACTTACTGCTGCTCACTGCGTGAGCAACATACAGGAGAAAGTACCGATAGAGGTAAGTAACAGAGCTCTCGTTCTCTCTCTCTCTCTCTCTCTCGTTCAAGGTCGCGTAACTCGTTGTTCGGCTACCCACCGCGAGTCGCCGCGGGAACGCCGAATCGGCTCGAGTCAATTTTACGCTCGTTCGCAGAATCGACGATAGAGATTTACGGAGGGGAATTGAAATCCCGTTTAGGTGATGCTCGGCAGCGAGGACTTGAAGAGCAAGGGTGACGACGCGCAACGAATCGCCATAAGCAACGTGGTAACGCACCCGCGGTACAAGCGCAGCACCAACTATCACGATGTGGCTATCTTGAAACTGACGACGCCTGTGCGTATGACGAGCAACGCGAGGCCGATTTGCATCCAAACCAAGTCCCTGGATACTATGGACATGCCGACGAACGTATCGTTCGTCGTGATTGGATGGGGCGCTACCAGCTTCGACGAGGACACCACTAACAGATTGAGAAAGACGCCCGGTCTGAGGTAACTACATTCTGCATACAGAAAATTCTGCATTCAAATAAATGTTACTTGTTTCACAAGTATTTCACAAGAGTTTAAATATACATCATGAATTCATCACAAAATAATGAGAAAATATAGGTTAGAAGGGAAAGTTGTGTGTCACGTTAATTTTAAGATCATTTATTGTCTGTTAGAGCAAAAAGAAAGTGTTCCAAGTATTTTGGAAATGTGTTTGATCGATTGCATGTGTCATTTTTTGCATATACCTTTTTATTTCGACGATGTACTTTATACGAGTTTCGGGCATGCACTTTCTCGGTTTTGACGTCATAAATCGAGGTGGTCGCGACGAGTAATCAGGAGTCTGAAATTGGAACAACAATTCAGTTTGTTTAGTACATAGAGTCGAACCAAGTTTTTCGATAAAGTTTTATAATATTTTTGTGAAGAGAATAGATGTTTTTCTTTTAAGCACATGCAAATGAGCTTTTCTGATGAATTTGTGATGAGAATATTTTGAGACTATTATCAAAAAAAGATAGATAGTTTTTTTTTGGAGATAATCATTGCTTAAAAAAGGAAAATAAATTGAGCAATCGCTATTTCTTAGAAATAGAATAATATTTCCTTGTGATTATCGTTCATATATATTAAATTTCTTCGAGTAAAATTCCATTCGAAAAGTAATAGAATGATTAGCCGAGTCGTTTTCACTTCTCACTAGTAACACAGTGTGTTTCCTACTTTCAAACGTCTCTTGAACATTTCTACGGTCGATTGGACAAATTAGAGAAAATTCGACTTGCAGTTTCGTGGACAAGGAATCGTGCTCCAAATCGTTCAATGATTTCAACAAACTGCCTCGCGGCCTGGACGAGAATTTGCTGTGCGCGTTGGACACCAACGAGACGAGAAGAGCTGATGCCTGCCATGGAGACAGCGGCGGGCCTCTGCTGATGTTGGCCGGGCCGAATCAGAGCATCGTGGGAATCACCGCGTTCGGCCAGAGCTGCGGGAGCTCCATACCGGGGATTTACACGGCGGTGTATTACTATTTGGAATGGATCGAGATGCAGGTCTGGCCGGAAAAGACCGACGAGACGAGGTAGACGAGGTATAGCTCGTCTTCTTGGACCCTTGTGCACGGACTCTCGGGATCGTCACGATACTCTAGTCTCAAGTCATCGCGCGGAGGAAGCGTATTTTATACTTTTTTACATGTAAATCCCCCTTATATCGCGAGTACAATGTATGTCCCAATAACATATTGCGAATATTCCGCTGGCCGTGATTTTCTCATTCCGTCGTTGACTTTCCCGCGAGAACGGCTACATTCAATTCGTTCAATTGAATAGCGAGACGAATAGCTAAATTTTCTCCGTGGACACAAGTTCGTTAGACGTGCCGAAAATGGCCGATAAGAAAGAGGAGGACAGAAAGGAGGACGACGAACGGCTCGAATACATTTACAGATATCTAGTGCTCTCAAGAAAAATCAAAGCCGAAAAATGGCTCAAGATGCTAACGAACGAGGAATACAAGGTGCAATCTCTCTTCTTGGATTTTAATCCGACCTGCCCGCTCGATCATTCGTGAGAATTCAACGCGAGCGTTTATGCGTGAAAAAAAATAATAACTTGCTCGTTAAAGCTCGTTATGGTATCTGTAATTGTATGTAGTTTGTTCACGAAAATGCTATATAATTAAAATTTGCTTCTGAGAAACTAATTCGAGGCTACCTTCCAATCAATTTTCGCTGTAAATCGACTTGTAATCATGCTCACTTTGTATTCCGAACGCGCATTAGGAAACGATCATGAAGTTTTTGGACACACCGGAAGAAATGATTCTGACGGTGCAACTCAGCCCGGCCGGTGTATTGATACCGTTTCTCGAGGTATCGACAGCACGGACGAAGACGTCGTATTTCGTAAAGAGGAGGCCCGTCGAGATCACCAAGGAAAATTACAGGGATATCCTAATGCCGGGCGATATGGCACCGAGACCTATCGACGAACTGTCGGTTTTGGTCGAGGAGGTAGCGATTACGCGCCGTAATTAGATACCGTCTTTCCCGTGGAAAGGAACTGACCGTTATGTTCCGTGACCAGGCTTATGTACCGATACTGTCGAACCCGAAGAATCACAAAAGTTGGCCGTGCGTGGTCGGCGAGGATGTGAAGAAGCACGTTTACGACCTCCGCGGCGTAATATGCCAGGTGCCGCGTTCCTTCGACTCCAGCTTTCGAGAGTTATCCTCTAAATTTCTTAGGATGAAATCTCACTAAAAACTTTTCTAGATGTACTCAGAGTGTCCTGAAGACATTCAGAATAATTCTGGGACGTTCTGTGCGATCGATTTTCATATAGCACAAGAAATTGTCATGTGCAACTAGTCCGCTAAGCCTGATCTACAATATGCTCTTTGCGCGTTCTGTTTCTTGTCTTTTTCTGGCTTAAAGCTTAAGGTTTGAGTCAGAAAGAGATAAAGAGAAAGAAGCAGGAAGCAAAGAGCATATTGTAGATCAAGTGTATTTAGTGTAACTGAAGTTTCTGTTACACCCGGTAACCAGATGAAAGGTTGTAACAAGAGAAAGATTCCCGTTTTTACTCTCTACAGCTCTAATTGCTCTTAGTTATTTCAACCGCGTTTTAATGCAGCTGAACACGTTCATTCGAACGAATGTTTTCGGTAAAAGAAATATTATTTCCCGTCAGCAAGTTTTTCATCCGGTCCTCTCGCTCAGTTATACAAATTCTTTTCTTGTGTGAAGAAAAATGTCGCGTATCCATCATCCAGTGGTTGTTCCAGCTTAAGGGTAAGATGATGCGACAAACGTTGCTACCGATGCCGATGGGTGTCGAGCGAATATTCGAGGAAGAATTGAAGGCGCAAAAGAGCGGCGGGGCCGAAGTCAACGTTCGCTTGAGAAGCGACATCGAAGCGATCCTAATGAAGTGGTGCTCGCAGATCGGCGACACGCTTCACGAAGAGAGCACGCGCGTCTTCGCCACCGATAAGCATCCGCAACCGAGCGCGGGTATCGTAACTTCGGGTCTCAAATTGAATCTCGTTTCCAATCGAAAGAGAGAATGCATCTTAATTGCTGTTGATGCGCTTCCAGAAATCGAGTTTTGGCTTCGGCGACTCGTAAACGTCGAATCTATTTACAACCAGCTGATGGATCCCCGAGTGAAAAAAATGGCGTCTATTTTAGAATTGACCAAGAGTCCTTACTCGACGTGTTTCAAGACTCTGCTGAGAGACGTTATCGCCGGTTAGACGCTAAATTGATTATTAACGATAACGTCAAGGCTGGCAAAGTTGAATCTCATGTTTCTTTTCGCTCAGCAAAATTAGGATTCCCTCTTTTTGTTTTTGCCACGCTTGCATTCCTCGACGTCATCCTGTTTATCCTGTTTTTCTCAATGAATTCGTGAACTTTAGCGGTAATCGAGGCGCGCGACGTCTGCTCTTATCTCAAAGCCTTGGAGCCTCATTTCGAAGATATAAAAAATATCGGATTCAAAGATATTCAGATGAAGTTGAAGCCGTTGTTGCATTGCGTATGCCTGTTGTGGTCCAATTCGAGATATTACTGCACCTCTACGCGAATCATCACGCTGCTGGTCGAGATATCGAATTTGTTGATAAGTGAGGTACAACATAAGATCGCACTCTCTAATCTTTTAGAGTCGAATCTCATTAAAAACTAACCAGCGATTTTGTAGGCCGCCAAATACTTGGATCAGAGTACTCTGTTCGCGGGTGACGTCGAGGACGGTTTGACGCGTTTGGAACACGTGACGAATATCTTTCTCTATTACGTGGAAATGTTTGAGACTTTTCGTAGCAAGCTGGACACTTACTTCAGGCCGTCGAGCGAGCCGATCCTGTGGAACTTTCACGACGAGTTGGTGCTCGAAGGAATAACTGATTTTCAGAAACGTCTGGGAGAGATAAAGGTCTGCGATGAGTATCAAACGCAGCTTACCCAAAGTTCCTTTAAGGTGTTTCCAGGGCTCGCATACTGGTTATCTCGCGGCCATCTGCAAGCGAAAGTAGATAATTACTTCGTATTAATTCGTCACGCAGATATTGTTCGAGACGGCGCGGGAGTATTTCAAGCTGGAGAGGATGGAACTGGCGGGTCTGAAGGCGAGAACGTTATGTTCGAGGATTTACGACATCCACGAGGAATTTGTCGGTATGTACAATGAATTCGCGGAGCTGCAATACGACATTCTAGTGGCGGAAGAGACCCGATTCACCGATCGTGTCACCTCCTTCTTAGCGAAGGTGAGAAGACATCCCGTAAGTATGACGACCGCGAATGTTTTACGCGAGTATACTCGTTCGTCGCAGGTGGAGAAGTTTGACAGAGAGCTAGCGAGTATATTCGATCGGGCGTTCTCCGAGTGCCACAACACGGAGATTATGTTCAAATTGATGTGGATTGTAGGCTCGATGGGCAATCGGCCGATCGTCATGGCGCAATTGTGGCACAACTATGAAAAACTGCTGCAAAGGATTCACAATCACTTCGACGATATTAAAGTATGACACGATACTCAACTTTGGAATGCTACTTGCGCTCCATCTTACGTCAATTTTAATTCTCGTGTGAGAATAATTGCTATAAAAAGGTTGGAGCACCTGTACTGGCGACTGTTGTACGGCCAATATTTGATTCAGTGAATCGTAGTCGCGAACCAAGCAATGTTGGTCGATTACAATTTTCTTTGATTAAAACAATGAGTGAGCCTTTGACTCTGCTATTTTTTATCTTTCCAGGTCATATTCGACTGCGCCTTCAAAGATCACGGCCAAATCGAAACTGGACTGTATTTTCCACCTGTCGCAGGTGCGTTATGTACGTTGACGCAGTTGCGACAACGAATCGACTATCCGATGCAATGTGCGAAATTACTCGATCATCCTTTGGTAAATCTCAGAATAGCGCGCGACACCAAGCCCAAGTACGATCAGCTGCAGGTAATATTTCACAGAGCCAGCTGTGAGAGAGAGAGAGAGAGAGAGAGAGAGAGAGAGAGAGAGAGAGAGAGAGAGAGAGATGTAACACGCAAAAACAGAGTCGAATATTTCGACGTTAACTCGATCATTTTTCGATATTTTTCTAGTCTACTTTTCTTCACGTATAAAAATTTTTATTTATTTGATCAACCTCTTGATAATTGTCCACTTTAATTATCTTTCAACACAACTTACGAACGTAACTCAAAAATTTCAAGTTCTCGTAGTGGAAGTTACATTAACAGATATTTGTTTTGCTTTTTGCAAGTCGTTGATAGACACGATGGAGCACGAGATATTTACGAATTGGGCAGATAAAGTAGCCGACATCAGCAACACTTATTTGTCGAAGAGTCTATTAACGATACGCGATGACCAACTGCTCGATGTAAACTTTGACCCCGAACTGACCGCGTTGTTGCGCGAGACGCGTTACATGATTATCATGAAGAGGACAGATCTGCCCGAAGAAGCGACTGAGCTCTACTATAGAACGCAATATTTCTTCGAGAGTACCTACAATCTCAATTTGATCGTGCAACGGTAAGAGGCTGTTGGTGAGCTTGGAGACGACTCATTCGTATCTCTCTTCAAGTTCGTTCATACGGCAGGTATAACTGGATCAGAACTTACACTCTGCCCGTGGAATTTGAGTTGGTGAGACACGAGGTCGAAAAGGTGGACGAATTGATTCGTGTCGGCCAGAGGACTTACAATTGGAATTCTCCGGGTAAAAGTTGTATCGTATTTACAACACTTATGTATTACCGCTTATGTTACGCTTGTATTTACCACTTGTGAGATGAGTTATGTCAATAGAAAAATTAGAACATACACAGAAAAAAAAAATACTGTCAATAATACTGTTTCAATATTGTCAAAATACTGTTTTCAGATATTTTTAAAATGATATTTTTGTGTGCATATACACGTGATCCGCTTGATAGAGGTGCCAGAGTACATTGGCAATTTGCTGGCCTTGGTGTGGAAGTTGCACTCGCGAATCTTTCGCGCTCAAGAGAACATTGCCGCGTTGCTGCGAACGGTTCACCCGTGGACGCTGTCGCCGATACTGCAGCGTAAGGATCTCAAAGACGAGAATCCGCTCGCTGTGACCGAACGTGACGAGGCTTTTCAAAAACGATACGACAAGATCGAGCAAGCTGCCAGAGAGTTGAGTCGAATCTTAAATGAAAATTACAAGCTGTTCTTCGAACTGTTACCCGACTCGGTGTACGAGAGAAACGAATTGGACGAAGGTGATATTCTCGATCGTTTCTTACTTTACAGGCGCAAGTCGTTGCGTAGTTTACAAAAGTCTGACGGCTATTTAATAACAAATTATTATTTACATGTGTTTATGCGATACATTTCGTACATGTGACTCTTCAGTGGTGGGGCCACGAGAAATACTCGAGGAACAAGGTAACGCGGAAAAACGGATCCTAGCGGACAAATCGAGGTGTGTGGATCGAGCCTCTTTCTCAGCCCACGAAGGGGCGCGACTCGCTTGTGTTTACACTCGTCTCAATGCACTGTATGTCGCTATAGAATCGAGGAAGAGAAAGGGAGAGTCGCGCGTGGCGGCACGGAGGAGGAGAAGACAGGCAAAGATGAGATTGAAATACCGGAAGTACCGTTAACGGTCGAGCAAATCGGCCAGACTGTGACCAAGTGGAAACCCTATCTCGCTTACGTCGACGATTTGATATCGAAAGCTCTGATCCAAGCTGTCTCCAGTAGGTATCGGTAACTCGTTGAGTTTTGCGGAACGTTCATCGTTAACACCATCGTTTGCCGATAAATTATCAATATTGTCGTCTAATACACTTATCGTTTTATGTTTTGCTAAGAAAAGTTTAGTTTATTTCCCTTCTTTCAAGCAGTGGTCAACTTTAATGTTTTCCTGATAACAGTCTGAGAGAGTATACTCATCACAAATTTTACGAATGTTCATTATCCGTGTGTATCCTTTTATCCTCTTTACGAGAACATTATAAAACTCTATCGCGAACAAAAAGTTTTGGCTTGACAAAATACTTGAAACAAACTACATTTGCTTCAAAGTATTTGTCGTGCGTTAGTGACGGAAAAGAAACACTTTCACGATTACCAATAACAAATCGTACACGTGTGTATCAGCGTATGTTACTTGCTCGACGAGACCGATCCGGAGAGCAACGTGTCGCCTCTCTTCGAGATTCAATTGTCGCTCGACGTGCCGAACATTGTCTTCCATCCCGAGGTAGACCCGGACGATCCCGAGGGCTTTTACGCGTTCTTTAAGAGTCTGCTGCTCGACATTATGAGAATGGGGACGTTGATACCGCGCGTGGATCCGGACGTCGCAACGGAACGAGAGCATTACGGAGTACGTGGCCGTATACCGGGTGCTCGTTACAAGGCGCGCACGACAAGACTCTTCGTTGAGAGTCTCGCGTTCCTCTCGACAAACGCGTCTTTTACCAAACACTTTGCGCACACGTAAACGCGACACACATCGAGTCGATAAATCTCGCTGGACATAACACACGATGCTACACAGCTAGCACGACGATTTTCGACTCACCGTATGTGTGTGTGTGTGTGTATACAATATTGCAATCGTTAATCGCGATATAATGTTTCAAGAACGACTTGGCGGAAGAAGAAGGTATCGTTTTCATGCTCGAGGAGACGTGTAATCGAATCAAACTGGGTCTGGTGCAAGCACAGGAATACATCATTGTAAGAACTTTGAGTAACTCTTCGCGGTAGTTTCATCCTAGACACACGAATAAATTGCTCTCTATCTCTTCATCTGTTCTACGCGATGGCTATAAACCGCGATGTATTGGTACGAGTGACTCATAAGTCAATCGGACAACCGAGAGACCGTTCCAAGGAAAACAATGTTTTCTCCTAATTCTAGACTTTCGACAAATTTACCTGGCTGTGGCTGGACGACAAACAGGAATACTTGGATTTGTTTTTACGCTTCGGGCGTGCTCTCACGGACAAGGAAAAAGCCATAGTGGCTGAAGACTCGGAAAATCTTCCGGAGCATCTGAAAGAAAGAAAGCCGGAACTGAGCGATTTCAAAAGGGAAATCGACTACTTTGTGGAACTTTATGGGAAATGTGACGCGCTCGAGAATGAAATGATTTTTCTACGTTGGCTACGATTAGATACGAGAGCTTTCAAGCAAGTCCTGCTAAATATAATCTGCAAATGGACGAATACCTTCAAAACATATCTCGTCGATCATGTCAACAACGAGTACGTATTCGTTGAATAATATGCGAGCTTTCAATCAATTTCAAAAAAAGGAGGTTGAAATATCGTTAAAATATTGAAGTAGATTGTAGGTAAACAGGAATGTTGAGCCAAAATTATACTTTTCGGAGCTTTTAAGATTTGTCTAGGCAGTTTATTTTTGTTAAAAATGTGTTGCAGTTTTAATTAGCTTTGACGAATAATACATGTGAATATATATATATATATATATATATATATATATATATATGTACATCACATAGACTCGGAAATCTCAGCAAATTTCTGACGAAAGCTCTGAAGAAGTTTATGCAGCCAATTGCGGCGGACGATTATGAGGATTTGTTAAATACCATATATTATCTGAAGGAAGTTCGAGATCGACAATACCAAATTGACGATATGTGGGAGCCTATCAAAGTAATCGCCACTTCGTATCCTTTAATCTTTAAACCTATTACAAGTATCCTGATAGTAATAATTGATATAGAAAATTATATGCCGATGTAAGACGATAAGCGATAATGTACTGCTCTCTTTACTCTCGGAAACTTATCTTTCTCACATGCTACGTCTTTTTCGCGATAATCATTCATTCATTTGAGGTAATGTTCGTAGGCGACTATAGAGCTTCTCAAGCAATACCAAGTGCAATTCGGCGAAGAAACGTATGTTTGGCTGGCGGAACTGCCGGAGCAATGGGCGACGGTTAAGAAGTGGGCGGCGCAGGTGAAGCATCTCGTGAATCCTCTGATGGCACGTCAGATCGAGCTGCTGAAGAAGCGTCTCAATTATTACGATTTCCAGCAGCAAAAGTATCTGGCAGATTTCCGCGAGAACGCAGTGTTCAGGTACAACAAGGCAACTGCGTGGCGGTCTTGTTTCTGTTTGCGCACTGAGAAAAAAAAATTGTTAATTACATTACAAGTGATATCAGACACTTTTTTTGCCAGTGTATTTATACGCGGCGATGTGCATCGTTCTATTCAACGGGTCTAACGAGAGTCCATGACAAATCGTACATCTCAACGTAGCGATAGAATAATCCTCAATGTAAAAACTAACTCATGACTCATTATGGCTGCATTCGGAAACGTCACTCGAGTACTCTCCCTCTCTTTTTATCTCACTCTTGTATTTCGCTCACTTCAACGGCTATCGTCTAGTAGTGTGCGCACTGCGTGTGTGTGTGTGTTTCCGAACGCAGCCTATCATTGGGCCAACTAATATTGGGCATTAAGCCCATTAAAATTTTCTTCGACTAAAATAATCAGCAAATCAATCACGTCTAATTGTGTCTAGTTTCGATTGCACAAATGTGTACGAGAAATTGGACGACATCAACAAAGATATCGTAGAGCTGGAGGAGAAATTGAGTGAGTTGCACGATCAGGCGAATATATTCGAGCAACAGGTGCCGGAGTTTAAACAAATCAAGCTCGCCAGGAAAGAACTGAAGCTTTTAAAGAATCTGTGGGATCATGTGAATATCGTAACCTCGAGTCTGGACGAATGGAAGACGACGTATTGGAATAAAATAGATGTCGAGGGAATGGATCAAGAATGTAAAAAATTGATTCGAGAATTGAGACGTAAGTTTCTCGTGGATTCTGTTAGCACGCAGTGCTAACATTGGTATGTCGAACGTTGCTACCGGTCGGGATAACTGCTAAAAAACGGAAGTCCATTTTGTATTATCTCAGAATTAGACAAAGAGGTGCGAGTTTGGAACTTGTACACACACGTGGAAGCGCAAGTGCGGAACATGATGTCGTCGTTGAGAGCAGTTTCGGAACTGCAAAATCCCGCCATCAGAGACAGGCATTGGCAGCAGCTCATGGCTGAGACACGAGTGCGTAAATTGACCGATATGCTCATATGCGTTTCGTCGCTTAACATTGGCGCGACGGGGCCGCGATTGACACGTTACAGGTGAAATTTACGATGGACGACAAGACTACCTTGGAGGACCTGTTGAAATTGGAGCTTCACAAATACGAAGAAGAGGTGAAAGAAACGGTGGACAAGGCGGTTAAAGAAATGAGTATGGAAAAGTTTCTCAAGGAGCTGCACAATACGTGGGATATTCTTGAGTTCGACAAGGAGATACACGAGCGCACCAAGCTCAACGTCTTGAAAATAGACGAAGAGACGATCGAGATGCTGGAAGAGAATCAGGTAAACAGAGCGTGTTTGGTGTTCGGAAGTATTCGAAACGGGCGACTGCGAGGTCTCTGTCGCAGGTGCAACTACAAAGCATGTTGGACTCGAGATACGTAGCCTACTTCTTCGACGAAGTGACCGATTGGCAACAGAAACTCAGCAACGCGGACGCCGCGATCAATGCCTGGTTCCAGGTTCAACGTGCTTGGATGCATTTGGAGAGCATCTTTATCGGTTCGGAGGATATAAGAAGTCAATTGCCAGAGGAGTCGAAACGCTTCGAGAAGATAGACAAGGATTTCAAGGTAAATACTCGATTATAACGAGTATCCTCCTTATGTTCTACGCACAAACTCATACACTGAACGCGTCGTGAACGACGATTCGGTTCTGCTTCGAAGGATCTGTTGAAAGAAATGTCGACCAACTTGAACATAGTGAAGTCGACGAACAAACCGAAACTGTTGGATCGCCTGGAGGAGTTGGATAGGCAATTGAGCGTTTGCGAGAAGGCGCTGTCCGATTACCTGGAGACAAAGAGACTGGCCTACCCGCGCTTCTATTTTATCTCATCTGCGGATCTGCTGAACATACTCAGCAACGGTAAATACGTCTTGCCCCTCTTTCCCCCCGCCGTGACAATGTAGAGATTCGTTACACGGTCGCCCACGTGTTTTACATTCGCGCGCTCGATCGCAACAGGCAACAATCCGGAGATGGTTTGCAAGCATCTGTCCAAGTTGTACGACTCGTTGGCGAATCTCACGTGGAAAATGGAAGGAGGAAAAGCGACGAAATACGCCAACGGGATGATCGCCAAAGACGGCGAGGAGATGGCCATGCACGGAACGTGCGACTGTAGCGGAAAGGTATCGCGAATTGAGATTTCAGCGCGGAGAAAACACATATGGATTTGACTAAATATGTCGTAACAAAATATTAATGTTATTTCTCGCTCATACATGGGCAAAAGGGCTGTATAGGAACTATATAGTATTCTGGAAATGGTTTTTCTTCTTGGTTGCCTATCCATAAATGTTTAAGCAAAACTTTCAGTGCTGTGTAACGCAATCAAGGGATCCTTTGACCATAGTATCCATCCTGCAGGCCACAGCACCGATGGCACAATAATATTCTTTCGATTGAAGCAACTGTGTATATGAGGATATACACGGAGAAAACATATTAAAGCTTCTTTTATATAAATTCTCTTCTATGTTTTCGCAAGAAAACAAAGCAAGGTCTATCTAGCTATAAGGCAGATCTCTCAAATGAGAGCGAATCTGGTGAGTTTCAAAAGTGACGCTGCTACTCCTCGTACAGGTCGAGGTTTGGCTGAATCGCGTGACCGACACAATGCGAGAGACCGTGCGACATCATTTCAGTCAGGCGGTCGCCTCGTACGACGAGAAGCCTCGCGAGCTTTGGATCTTGGATCACGAGGCACAGCCGGCTCTGTGCGGCACCCAGATCTGGTGGACCGCCGAGGTGAACATGGCGTTCGCACGGCTCGAGGAGGGATTCGAGAACGCGCTCAAAGAGTATCAGAAGAAGCAGATCGGCCAGCTGAACGTACTGATCGCGCTCCTGCGCGGCGAGCTCAACGAGAACGACCGGCAGAAGATCATGACCATTTGTACCATCGACGTGCACGCGCGCGACGTGGTCGGGAAATTAATATCCATCAAAGCGGAGAGTTCGTCCAACTTTCAATGGCAGTCGCAGTTGAAGTACAGGTCCGTATGTAAGACAAATTTCCCAGCCTCCCAAGGTGAAAGAGAGAAATCATTAATGATTTTAAATAACGTACGTATGAAACAATTTCTTTTGTAGACATATAAAAAGTAAGCCTGTTACACATACAACAAAAATAGAAATTATTGCTGAGATAAAATTATTCTTAAGATTAAGAAGAAAAGGAGCAAAACTCTGAATTTTCTCGAGAGAAAATCTTTCCCGAAGTGTTTTAAACAGTCGGGATAAACCGGGATATAATTCGGTGTCTCGGAGATAGTATTAGAAAAGATCCGGAACAAAGGGTGAAAAACCTTTTCGTCCCGCAAAAACGGGACGTCTGATTATCTTGGTGCAAAAGATCGCGATAATAACATGCGAAGACGAAAGAATTGAAAGAGGATCGTTTCGTCTCGTAGATGGGACGACAAGTCGGACAATTGCGTCGTTAACATTTGTGACGCATCTTTCGTGTACGCTTACGAGTACTTGGGCAATGTACCACGGCTGGTGATCACGCCGTTGACGGACAGATGCTACATTACGCTGACGCAATCGTTGCATCTGATAATGGGTGGAGCACCAGCCGGACCCGCTGGAACAGGGAAAACCGAGACGACTAAGGATCTCGGCAGAGCCCTCGGACAAATGGTTTACGTCTTCAACTGCTCCGAGCAAATGGATTACAAGGTAATCCTTTCCCCTTTTCCCTTTTTCCTTCTTTCCCTCTTGCAATATTTCGCGAAGCGTACACTGAGAGAAAAAATTGGCTGATCTAACTAAAATTATAGTTATTTTACGGCCCTCACCGTATCTTCTGGTTGTTCTAACACGAAAATGTAATATACATATAAAATTATTATCACTAAAGTTATATAGCACAATTTAATAACAGTTTGATAACAGTCAAATAGTTTTCTTGACCATATCTTATAGTAATTATTTCGTCATGTGATTACAATTATCGCAAATACCGATCATTTTTTTTCTCAGTGTAGCCGGGAAAATCGTCACTTGGTGGTTTTCGGTGCAAAACTAGCGTTCATCGTAGAGCCGCTTATCCTAACACTAGTTTTGAACTCTAGTCGCTTTATTGTTCTCGCTCAATCGAACGTTCGCAGTCGTGCGGCAACATATACAAGGGATTAGCGCAAACTGGTGCGTGGGGTTGCTTTGACGAGTTCAACAGGATCGCCGTCGAAGTACTGTCGGTCGTGGCCGTGCAAGTGAAATACGTTCTGGACGGGGTAAAGAATCGAAAGAAGACATTCTTATTCTTCGGCGAGGAGCTCAATATCGTGGATACAGTCGGCATGTTTATAACGATGAATCCTGGTTATGCCGGTAGAACCGAGCTTCCTGAGAACTTGAAGACGCTATTTCGGTAAATGTAACGCGTGGCTCTTATCGCGATGTAACAAGATGTGATGATATCGATGAAAATAACTCGAATAATAAATCGACAGACCCTGCGCCATGGTGGTGCCTGACTTTGAATTAATTTGCGAGATCATGCTGGTGGCCGAGGGCTTCCAGGAGGCTAGATTGCTCGCGAGAAAGTTTATCACTCTGTACACGCTATGTCGAGAACTGTTATCCAAGCAAGACCATTACGATTGGGGCTTGAGAGCCATCAAGTCCGTCTTGGTCGTCGCTGGAAAGTTGAAGCGCGATGATAAAGAACGGCCGGAGGACCAAGTCTTAATGAGAGCTCTGAGAGACTTTAACACGCCGAAAGTCGTGACCGATGACATTCCCGTGTTCTTGGGATTGATAGGTGAGACACAGAGATTCTCACTATAAATCTTGAATCGAAACATTTTCGCATCCTAAAAGAAAAAACTCTGGTTAAAATATCTGAGAAATAAAAAATATTTATTCGACGGGTGTTGATAAACATATTTACTTACACTAATGTAAGATATTTTTTCAATAAGGAAATTTTTTGCAATCTTTTCATGAAAGAGCAACTGTTTATTATATTTAAATAAAAGAATTTAAATTTAAGTAAATATGTTATTAGTACCCATCGAATAAATATCTTTTTAGATATTTTTTCTCTCAATGTAAAAATGAAATCTTGTAGGATTCAAGGATTCAAGGGTGAGATTTTACATATATATATATATATATATATATATATATATATATATAGATTATATGATATCTCAAGATCAAGTCTCATTGCAGAGTTAAGCGAAAATATCGATTTTTTTCTTCTATTCAGGAGACCTATTTCCTGCGTTAGAAGTACCGCGAAGAAGAGACCTCGAGTTCGAACAGATGGTCAAACTTGCGGCTTTGGACTTGAAGATGCAACCGGAAGACGGATTTATCTTGAAAGTACGTTACACGCGTGTACGCTCACCTTGAACAGTCAACTGTAAAACAGAGAGAGAGAGAGAGTTTCTCCTGTTCCCCTCCGGTTCGCTTCAGGTAGTACAATTGGAAGAGTTGTTTCACGTTCGACACTCGGTCTTTATCGTCGGCCTCGCCGGGACTGGTAAGACCGAAGTCTGGAAAACGCTCAACAGAACGTATTCGAACCAAAAACGTAAGCCGCACTACAACGATCTGAACCCAAAGGCGGTGACCAACGACGAGTTATTTGGCGTCATTAATCCGGCAACGAGGGAATGGAAAGACGGGTTCGTAGACAGCGCACCCGTCAATTTTCAGCGACGATCACAACGCGCTGCGCGCTTAGACCACGCTCTGTATATAACAGCCATGGTAACTTTCTATTCTTATTGCTACTTTTGCAGGTTATTCTCCATGATAATGAGAGAGCAAGCCAACATGGTCAGCGAAGGTCCGAAGTGGATCGTGTTCGACGGTGACATAGACCCGATGTGGATCGAGTCGCTCAATACAGTAATGGATGACAACAAGGTTCTAACGTTGGCGAGTAACGAAAGGATCGCCCTAACGAAACACATGCGTCTTCTGTTCGAAGTTTCGAACTTGCGGTAATATCTCTCTCGATATAAAGTCAATTTTAACGAGAAAGTTAGGGAAAAAATTCTAAAAGAGCCATTTCGCGATTTTGTATCTCCGTTGTTTTCCTCTCAGGAAAGATAATAGACGAAATCACACGAGCGACATACTCTCAGGGCCATCTAGATTTTCCTGATTTTCTCCAGCGGAAAGAATTCTTTTTTTCTTTTTGAGTGTATATACTTTGCGCGTGCTCATTTTCGACATTTGCAATTATATTTCAGGACAGCCACACCGGCGACGGTGTCTAGAGCGGGAATTTTGTACATTAATCCGCAAGACTTGGGTTGGAGTCCGTAAGGAAACTTAAATTTTCCAAACTAATCGAATTTTAATTAGAAATCGAATAACTCTCGCGTTATTCCCGCGCTCAAAACTTGGAAGAATAAATGCTTCCGACTACGAGTGTCTCTCCGAGTGAAATCGTTTCCAGTCAAGAAATTTCCCCGCAGATTCGTAACTAGCTGGATAGAAACGAGAGATCACGCCGAACGCGCAAACCTATCGATTCTCTTCGAAAAGTATATTCCACCCCTGCTGGAGGTGATAAAATTGAAGCTGAAGAAGATCATTCCTCTGCCGGAAATATGTCACATAGAAATACTTTGTCATTTACTGGACTGCTTTCTGATTAAGGAAAATGTGCCGCCGGAGTGTCCAAAGGAATGGTAGCGACGTTAACGAATGAAATTTTCACTTTTCAATCTTTGTCGTGACGACGCGTCATCTAAAAATTTCAGGACACGAATTTCGAATCGTAAAAGCCGCACGTTTACGTTCCAGGTACGAATTGTATTTTGCGTTTGCCTGCATCTGGGCGTTTGGTTCCGTGATGTTTCGAGATCAGTTGATAGATTGGCGAAACGAATTCAGCAAGTGGTGGCAGAACGAGTTCAAAACCGTCAAGTTTCCAGCGGGCGGCAACGTATTCAATTACTTTATAGAACCGGAGACGAAAAAGTTGATGCCCTGGACCGAAAAAGTTGCCCCCTTCAAGCTGGATTCGGATATTCCGCTTCAGGTTTCTTTTATATCCTGCACACATGCATGCACGCTACTCTGCTTCCAAATGGCAAATGAAAATAATAGAGAGAGAGAGAGAGAGAGAGAGAGAGAGTAAAACTTTCCAACAAAGAACAAAAAATTTAACGAAATATAAACGTTTAATGCAGTCCGCTTTGGTGCCAACTGGAGAAACAACGCGTTTACGCTTCTTCCTCGACTTGTTGGTGAAGAAGCGTGTCCCGGTGATGTTAGTGGGTGGAGCAGGCTGTGGAAAGAGCGTCATCATGGACGACAAATTGACGAATTTGCCAGATACTTACAACGTCGCGAATGTCCCTCTCAATTTCTACACCACGTCAGGTAAGTACGCTCAGAGAGAGAAACATGACAACTATACGGAATGTCTGTGATGTTAAGTGGTCCATTTAGATGTCAACTATACAAATCTTACCTGTAGAATCGTAATGTATACAGTTGAAAATTACTTTACAGTTATTCCAACTAAAGTTCTAGTTATAATAACTACAAAATAGTTTATCGAACTATATATATTACAATTATATAAACAAAGCTCGTATAGTTTTGTCATCTACATAGTTGTCATCACTGTGTCTTTTTCTTCGAACGCAAGAGGAATGATTTCTGCAATCGGTTGCACTTTTTGCACGTCGTCGAAACTCAACGTTGGCGAAAATTTGACTTACGAACGAATATAATGTAGTTGACTTGTGGCGCGAATTTGCCCAAAGAGGAAGCTCAGCCACGAGCTCAGCAACGTCGCGGTATGGCTGTCGGATACCGCAACTGACCACAAGCCCGAGTCGTTTGTATGCAATGGGTCAACAGACGTGACATACGTTTGCGTTACGTATCGCGGTTCAATTTTAACGAAAGATGGGGCAGTACGGTCTCTCGCGAATACATCACAATCGAGCGTGTCTGTCGTTTAATGAAAGACTGCAACGGTCTCGTTGTCGTCGAAAAGATACATTACAGAGGATCCTGGAGAAACATTTGGAGAAGAAGGCGGGACGTAATTATGGGCCACCAGGCATGAAACATCTCGTATATTTCATAGACGACATGAATATGCCGAAAGTGGATACTTATGGCACCGTGCAGCCTCACACCCTCATCAGGCAACATATCGATTATAATCACTGGTAATCACTTTGATCTCGCGTAGATATGCAAAACAAGGGGCACGAGGCGTGTCAAATTGTATTCGTTTCGATGCAGGTACGACCGGACGAGATTAACTCTGAAGGAGATTCACAATACGCAATATGTATCTTGCATGAACCCCACCGCGGGAAGTTTCACTATAGATCCGCGTTTACAGAGACACTTTGCCGTATTCGCAGTCAGGTAAACCAGAAATTACTCGTCCAGTTCTTACAAAATGTAAGACATTTTTCCGTTCCATGCTATACATCACGACATTTGTTCTTATCAAAGGAACGTGTTCGTTCTTAGTTTCCCACAAACCGACGCGCTTATGACGATATACAGTCAGATTTTGGAACAGCATGTGATGGATCCGCGAACCAAGTTTAACCCAGCGGTGCAAAAATTCACGGATCCCTTGATAAACGCCGCTTTGCATCTCCACGACAGGATCGCCGCAACCTTCCTACCCACAGCCATCAAGTTTCATTACATTTTCAATTTGCGCGATTTGACCAATGTATTCCAGGTAAGAACCTAATGAAAAATGATGTCGACCGAGAACGCGAACAACGCGATTTTCAAAAATGTAATCGCAACAAACCCAAAAGATATCATTTCTCATTCTCAGCGGAATCCTCTCATGTTGTGAATCCTTCAAGAGGATTCTTGTAAAACCAAAAGAAAAATATTCCAACACCCAGAAAACAGAAATCTAGTCTTGCAAGGTCTTATTTTCTGTAATCCCACATTTTAAGCAAAAATTTTCATCGAAAGAATGTTTCTCTTGTGACGAAAAGGAATAATATCGGGCTCAGAATATTTCTCTGTTGAAGAATCCTCTTGAGGCCATACATGATAATATACTCCTAAGGATGTATTCTTTTGATATATCGATGCACCTGTCTCCGATGCAGGGAATGTTGTTTGCTTACGGCGACGTTCTGCCCCATCCAAGTCACATAATCAGACTTTACGCTCATGAAGCTATGCGAGTGTATCGCGACAAATTGGTGAACTTTGAGGACCAGAGAGTATTCGATCGTCTACTTCTCGAGGCGCTTCGCAAAAATATACCTGTATGTTAGATAGCTATTAGAAATCATACATGTGAAACCGGACTGCACGGATTTTAAGATTCTAAGCACTTTTATTTCGAAGCGTGTGTCCGCGATGAAATCCGTCTTTGATTGAATTTTTTTTATCCTACTTTCGACCTTAATATCCTATTTAACAGCTACTTTGATGAATGAAAAAATCTCTTGATTATATTTAACCTACTAGTCTAGAGATCCTCCTTAGAAGCAGCCTCTGCAAGTAACATTTAGTTTCCATGTGTACTGATCCTTCAAAATATACACAGACGTTAGAAAGTAGAGTCAAAATTTCAATACCCGGATACTCATCTTCAGGAGCTGGACGAAAATGAGATCAAGTTGGAACAGCCGTTAATATACTGCCACTTTGCGGAGGGAATCGGCGAGCCAAAATATGCGCCTGTTAAGGACTGGGGGCAACTTGTAAAATCACTCGACGATACTCTGCACAGCTACAACGAGCTGGTAAATAAGCATCGCTCTCCGTTACGTGCGCCGAACGCGAACGTAAAGTTACTCCGCGCTTACAGGTGTCCGCGATGAATCTGGTATTGTTCGAGGATGCCGTGCATCACGTGTGTCGTATCAACAGAATACTGGAGGCGCCGAGAGGCAACGCGCTTCTAGTAGGTGTAGGTGGTAGCGGCAAGCAGTCCTTATCTCGCCTAGCCTCCTTCGTTTCCTCGTTGGAGGTAAGCAGAGAGTCGGTGGATCGATCACAAATTACCCAAGCACGGCGAGACTGTGTGAGCTTGCTCCGTGAGGGAGTCTCCGTGAAAATATTCGATACTTGAAAGATATTTCACTCGGGAGTAACACGGAATAGAGAAATTTGCCGAATCAATTTCGCGAGAAGCTATTACTTCTGCACGCTATCGCGGGGTCTAATAAACTTCAGCAAAGTACTCCGAGTCCTTACTCGGAGACCTTGTAGATTTACGTAGGAATCTAATACGAGCGTCACGTGCAGGTGTTTCAAGTGCAATTGCGCAAAGATTATTCATTGAACGAGCTGAGAGCCGACTTGGCCGTGCTGTATCTGAAAGCCGGTGTCAAGGGTATCGGTATTACCTTTTTAATGAGCGATTCTCAAGTAGCCGAGGAAGAGTTCTTAGTCGTGGTGAACGATATGCTGGCGTCAGGGGAGATCGCGGAACTATTCGGCGACGAAGACGTGGACGGCGTCGTTAACGCCGTACGCAACGAGGTGAACGGCATAGACATCCCCCGGGTACTTTTGAGAATAATTAGAAGATCGTCTTCTAAGTATCAGCAGCGCCGTTCGCTATTGTCGCGCAATCAGGCTTTGCTCGTGCCTAGGTCAAGCAAACTGGAATGATTGACACCAAAGAGAATTGCTGGAAATTCTTCATCGAGCGTGTGCGAATGCAATTAAGATGCGTCCTGTGCTTCTCGCCGGTCGGAGCGACTTTACGAAAGAGAGCTAGGCAGTTCCCCGCGATAGTAAATTGCACCGCGATCGACTGGTTTCAGGATTGGCCGCAGGAGGCTCTGGAATCCGTGTCGACGACGTTCCTCGAGGTACGATCGAGGTCGTTTCTTATGAAGCGTTTTTCTAACCACTACGTCATCGACAATGTTGATTCATTAATACATTAATAAAACGTAAGAGTTCAATTCTCTCTCGCTGTTTTTTTTTTTTTTTTTTTCAATGCAATGAATATTTATTGAGGTTTCGTAGAAATTATTATATCGCTCAATGCTTAGCTGATCTTCGTCCGATTCTCGCCTTGAGCTTCCGCGAGCTCACACGAAGAGAATATTATAGCTTCCTTTTCATACAAATCCTCCTCAATTTTATCGTGTTTTTAGTTGCAGTAATTTTTACTAATTTTCGCCAAGAACAGCAAATTTTTTAATGGCACATTTCAGTTTCTAAGATATATATATATATATATATATATATATATATATATATAAATAGCAGATATGAAGTGAAAGGAGATAGTCAATTACTGCAGAATATCAATTTGATCATTGGCTAGAAAATTCTGTAGTAACTTTTACCACAAAATTCTCCCTGTATACAGGAGCTAGAGGAGCTACCGGCCGAATATCTCAAGTCTGTATCGCTTTTTATGTCGCACGTCCACACGAGCGTGAACCACGTGTCTGAAGTATATCTGCGAAACGAGAGGAGATACAACTACACGACACCAAAGTCATTCCTCGAGCAGATCTCCTTGTATTCCAAGCTCCTGACGGAGAAAACTCACGACTTGACGGCGATGATCTCGCGTCTCACCGATGGACTGATCAAGCTCGAATCTTGTTCCGTTCAGGTAGCTGCTGGTTTATCTTTCACAGGATTAACATCGTTGTTTAGCGTCGTCGTCCCGTACTAATCCGTGTCCCCACCTCCTCCCGGCGAGTTTCTTCGAATGTAAAATTCCATCCGCGAAACAGGTCGACGAGCTGAAGATCATCTTGGCGGCACAAGAGATCGAGTTGAAGAAGAAGAACGAGATAGCTGATAAAATATTGGTAGAAGTGCGCGCGGAAAACGCGAAAGCGGAGGCGGAGAAAGCTATCGGTAAGATATCGAAGTAAATGGAGGTACACAAGCGATATTATCATCAACGACACGACGGAATTTTCCAGTGATCGAAGAGGAAGCGAGGGTGGCGGAAATCAAGGAGACCGTGTCGGAGAATCAAAAGCGTTGCGACGAAGACTTGGCCCGCGCCGAGCCGGCGGTGAGACAGGCCGAAGCGGCGCTCGATACTTTGAACAAGGTGAACGAACTTGCGATCTAAGATTATGTTGCGATCAAGGTACAACACGGTAACGATAAGGCAATGATAAGCGAGATGTGTTCGCAAGAAACACTTGTCGATCTCGTATCTCGATTTTCCCTCCTTTTTTCCATGCGCTTGAAAAATACATATTCTCATTCTTAGCGAAATCCTCTTATATTATGGCCTCAAGAGAGAATTCTCCTTAATAACCAAAAGAAAAATATTCTAACATTCAAAAAGAAGAATTCTTACGTTGCAAGATTTTTTGCAATTCCATATTCTAAGCGAATAGAATATTTTTCTTCTAGAGAAGCAGACTATTAATCGAAAATCTACCGAATATCATTCTAACTTCTCTCTCTCTCTCTCTCTCTCTCTCTCTCTCTCTCTCTCTCTCTCTCTCTCTTCTTTTTATGAATCAAAAGGAATATGTTTATGACAGACAAGCAAGATTTATACTGCAGATAAAAAATTCCTTCTTTAAGAATAATACTGTAATTCGAATGTTTTGATTTTAGGAGATTTCAGGAGATATATGACAGTATTCCGGATGAGTTTTTCCGGAGAGTTACAATTTCCAAATGAAACATATCGAAGTAAAATCTGATTTTCTTCAGATCGAGAGACCAAAAAGAAAATAATTTTCTATCGTTTCGCAGAGCAACTTGACGGAATTGAAGTCTTTCGGGACGCCGCCGGCTGCCGTAGCCAACGTCGCTGAGGCCGTACTCGTCCTGTTCTCACCGAAAGGTAAAGTGCCAAAGGACAGGAGTTGGAAGGCTTGCAGAGTGATGATGGGATCTATCGACGGTTTTCTGGCACAGTTGCGCAATTACGATAAAGAAAACATACATCCGGATGTCGTGAAGGCGATTCAACCTTACGTCACCGACAAAGGTATCGATGCTGTTGATATAATTCGTTAAAATTCTCCACTATACCGAACACACACGCCATCATAGCGTTCGACCCGGAGTTTGTGTACTCGAAATCGCAAGCGGCGGCGGGACTCTGCAGCTGGGTGAAAAACATCATGGTGTTCCATTACATCAACGAGAGCGTGAAGCCTCTGAGAGCCGCGCTCGTTCAGGCAAATGCCGAGCTGAAGGCAGCTATGGACAAATTGAATTCTTTGAGAAGTCGTTTAGCGGTAAGCCCGCTCGGCCGGCCGTGTTTTCTACTCTCCTTCGTTTCTCGTGTGTCGAAAATCGCCGCTCTAATCCGAGAATTATCTCACGCGCGCACAGGAGTTGCAGAAGGTGTTGGACGTGTTGGAGGAGAAGATGAGCGCGGCTCTGGCCGCGAAGCAAAAGTGTCAGGACGAAGCGGAAGCGACCGCGTTCACCATAGATCTGGCGAATCGATTGGTAAACGGCCTCGCATCCGAGAACGTTCGCTGGGCCGAGACTGTGCAAGTGTACGTGGGTTTGCTCGATCTTAATGGCAAATTATAAGAGAAAACGCCTCGCGAGATAGAACGGGAAACCGCGAACGGCACTGACGCGACGCGGTAAACGCGCGCTAATAATCCCGGTTATCGAATCGGCCGAATGTGTCAGTTACGCACAAAATCATTCCCTCCTCCGTTTTTTTTTTTCTCCTACAGTACGATTAATCTGTTGGATTTTGTTCAATATTTTGTTTTTGCTATTTATTGAGAAACGCAAGTTGAGATCGAGTCTGTAGAGGTAATATCGATTCTCCGTGCTTTACTCGAAAGAAACGGTCTCCTAAAGACGTTTACGATACGCCAATAAAACAGACTGAAGAAATCCGGAATTACTCTACCGGGCAATGTGTTGCTCGTCACGGCGTTTATTTCTTACATGGGGTGCTTCACGAGGAAATATAGAGTGGATCTCATGAATTTACATTGGTTACCGTTTCTCGACAAGCTGCAAGTGCCGATACCGCGTACACCCGGTTTGGATCCGCTGTCTTTAATGACCGACGACGCGAAAATCGCCCAGTGGAATAACGACGGTAAGAAGAACCTCGTACGTGCGAGGAAGCGCGAGTATTAAATATTGGCGTGACTTAGGTTTACCTGCGGACAGAATGTCTACGGAAAACGCCACGATACTCAGCAATTCTTCGAGATGGCCGCTGATGATCGACCCGCAGCTACAAGGGATCAAGTGGATCAAGAACAAATATAAGAATAATTTGATAGTGCTACGATTAACTGACAAGAATTATCTCGATAGAATCGAATACGGTATCGCCAATGGCGAAGTGGTGCTGCTGGAAAGCATCATGGAAACGGTCGACGCTGTTTTAGAGCCGATCTTGGGTCGAGTTTTAATCAAGAGGGGAAGGTATTTCCGACTCTGTCTCTCTCTCTCTCTCTCTCTCTCTCTCTCTCTCTCTCTCTCTCTCTCTCTCTCTCTCTCTCTCTGTCTATCTATCTATCTCTCGTAGCCGAGTGATTTATCCAGCTAGGAAAATTGATCTTGCAAAATTGACGTTGACCATCAGGGCCATCAAGATAGGAGACAAAGAAGTGGATTACGACCCGCGTTTCCATCTCATCCTGCAAACGAAACTGGCGAATCCCCATTACAAGCCCGAGATGCAAGCTCAAACTACGCTCATCAATTTTACTGTTACGAAAGACGGTTTAGAGGAGCAGCTATTAGGCGCCGTCGTGAAAGCGGAGCGTCCGGATTTGGAATCGACCAAAGCCGAGCTCACGACCCAGCAGAACACGTTCAAGATCACGCTGAAGGCGTTGGAGGACGATCTGTTGCACAGGTGCGTAACGCTTGCGCGCGCAGCGGAGTTTTTAATGGTAGGTTCGCACCGCTGAACCGGTAGCGAGACGAGTCAAACGACGAGTTATTCGCACGCTCTTTTTCATAAAGCGAGAGAGCGAGTGACTCTTTACGCGGCTGCATCATGCAAGAATCATGCACGAATCGAACAATAAGTCGTCATCATCGAGTCCAACTCGATAAGAATAGAGGCAGCAATTGCTGCCAATCGATCAGACGAATTATTCGCCATTGATCGGATCTTTCCTCGCTCAAGAAGAAAACTAGCATATTTTCCGATCAACTTAATATTTGTTACAATCGCGTCTTACTCTTGGTTAAGGTTGTCATCAGCGGGCCCAGATATATTGAGCGACGTCGCTCTCGTAGTGAACCTCGAGACCACGAAGAAGACCGCCAGCGAGATCGAGGCGAAGGCAATCGAGACGAAGGTGACCGCTGCGAAGATAGACGAGGCGCGGGAGTCCTACCGGCCCGTGGCGTCCAGGGCCAGCCTCCTATACTTCATCCTTAACGATCTCAACAAGATCAACATGCTGTACCAATTTTCTCTGAAGGCGTTCAGCGCGGTCTTCCAGAACGCCATTAAATTTGCGGAGCCGGCGGACATCCTTGGTAAACGCGTCGCCAGTTTGATCGACAGCGTCACGTACTTGGTTTTTACGTACACCAGCCGCGGACTATTTGAGAGCGACAAGCTCATATTTTTGTGCCAGTTAACTCTTCAGGTATCGACTCGTTACATAAATAACGCCAATTCAAGTAGACCAAAGATCCCGATAGGCGAGTTTAAGAAAAAAAAAAATGTATATATATATATATATATATATATATATATATACTGTCAAATCTCCCTACACAAGGAAAACAAATTTCAGTTATTTCTTTTTCCAGCTAATTGTCTTAAACTAGTTTTTCCGTTACACCTGATCTAAATTTCCCTTTCGTTGTAAGTTCGGCAAATTATAGGAAATTGCGGCACTATGCAATTACATTTCTTTTTTTGAGTGTCGGAACATTTTTCCTTTCGGAAAATGTTAGGAAGAATGGTTTGATTTTGGAAGAATCGTCTTGGGATCGACATACAACAGGATTCCACTGAGGATAAGATTATATTTTTTTAGATAACCATGTTATCTACGAGCGAATATATTTTTGTTTGGCGAGTATGTAGCGCGAACGTAAAACGAATGATACGGATTAACGAACGCTACGGTTTATAGATTCTGTTGCAAACGAAAGAGATAGAGCAGGCCGAAGTGGACTTTCTCCTGCGATTCCCTTACTTGCCGGATCTAACGAGTCCGGTGGACTTTCTCAGTAACATTGGCTGGGGTGGCGTCAAGTATCTGAGCGGAATGGAAAATTTTCACAATCTGGATCGCGACATAGACGGTGCCGCGAGAAGATGGAAAAAGTTTGTCGAGTCGGAAACGCCGGAGAGGGAGAAATTTCCTCAAGAATGGAAAAATAAGACGGCATTCCAAAGACTGTGCATAATGAGATGCGTGAGATTGGACCGAATGGTCTACGCTATACGGTAATTTGTCACGTCAGTCACTGCGTAATATCCGGGGCTGCGAAATGCCAGCCACGATGGTGCAAATTGTTATCCTCTCGTCATTAATGCTTTAACGATGCAGATGGTTCGTGCAAGAGAAGCTGGGTGAAAAATTTATACAGTTCCGTGCGCAACCTTTCGAGAAGACATACGAAGACATGTGCGCAAACACGCCAGTATTTTTCATTCTATCCCCAGGAGTCGATCCTTTAAAGGTACGTACACTGAGAGAAAAATATAGTTGCTTTCGGCGTCAACTATACCTTTTTGTGATTTTAACCGGAAAAATAATTAGAAGAACCATCTTTCTGATAACACAATGGTTCTTCTAATTGTTTTTGTGATTAAAATCACAAAAGCGTACAATTGACGCCAAAGGCAACTATATTTTTATCTCAGTATATGTCCGACAATTCACGTTCACTGTTAAATATATTATCCGAGGGTATTTACGAGAAATCCGATAAACAAATCGAGTATAGAAACATATACACAGCTTATAATTGGTGAACCATCAATTATAGCGTTTCGGTGAGGAATACACTGATTGTACTTTAGAAAGTGCTCGTTGATTTGCCACAAAGTAATATATAGTGAAAGAAAAACTCGCGGTTGCCTCGAAAGAGGATAAGCAATGAAAAAAAAAAAAAAAAAAAAAAAAAAAAAAAGGAAATTAACAGCGTGAAAATTATACAAACGATACAAAGTGACAAACACGCGTAGGATGTGGAGAAACTCGGCAAGCGACTCGGCTTCACGTTCGACGGGCAAAATTTCCACAATGTGTCGTTGGGACAAGGTCAGGAGCCCGTCGCGGAGGAGACGATGGACATCTCGGCGCGCAACGGTCACTGGGTTATACTTCAGAACGTTCATCTGGTGAGGAACTGGTTACCGAATCTCGAGAAGAAGATGGAACAGCTTTCGGAGAAGCCGCACGAAGATTATCGTCTCTACATTAGCGCGGAACCGAGTCCCGACCCTCACAAGTCGATAATACCGCAGGTATTAAAAGCGAAGCCGTCGTTCGCCCGACAAACGGTACGAGAGATGCGTTCGGAAAGTGACGCAACGCATTGTTCTCTTCTCGTTCACTCGCGCAACGATTTATTATGTCGGGACTCTTCAAATATATCACCACGCAGATTGCCTTTGGCTGTCTAAATGCATTTTTTTCTCGACTCCTTCGCTCTGTCCAACGACTGAGTACAATGTGCTCTCTCTGGCCAGAAGCGATTCGCGGTCACCGCGGTCGGAGCGCAAACTCGCAAACTTCACTTTGGGAGTTCACTTGGCTACTGTCTGAAGGAAAAACCTAGTGGAAAGTGTGCGCGCGCAAATACACGAGGCATTGGGGAGAGCGGAGTCACGGCGAGAAAATCGGAGACACGAATGCATTATTTTCCGAGCGCGCTCGTGCAGTAGTATCCTCGGCAAATTTCGCGTAAGGTCAAGCTGATCGACCCGATCGTGCGATTGATATAATATCCAGGGTATACTGGAGTCGGCCATAAAAATCACCAACGAACCACCGACGGGTATGCGTGCCAATATCCACAAAGCGCTAGATAACTTTAGTCAAGACACGCTGGAGGCCTGCGGCAAAGAAACCGAATTCAAAGCTATTCTCTTCACCCTTTGCTATTACCACGCCGCCATGGCCGAACGCAGGAAATTCGGAGCGCAAGGATGGAACAGGGTATAACTTCCCCGTGATTGCAATTTCACGTTCAGCGTCTCGTACGATCTGTATGATAGAATCTGAAACGTTCTAGAAAGTCAACGTTCTAGTATTAGATATTTATGGACTATTAAAACGTTAGTTGATACTAAAATAATCGACAGATCAATAATCAAAATTAATCGTCATGCATGAAATCACGAGTAACTTTATAGAGATCGATGAAATCAATCACAGTCAATATAAAGACACTGAAAACTCTCGTGGAATTTGCAACGAAAGCAAATATCACTGTATAACCAACACTGAAATTACATTACGGACCCATAAATAATAACTGTTTGGACTTGTGGCTGCTAACCGATAAGAAGATTGAAAAAATTATTTATTAATCAAACTTTGATTTGATTGATTATGCATTGATTGATAATTAATTTCATCAATCTGTTAAATCATTCGTGATTACATACACGACGATTGATTTGCTTTGATTTGTTCATTATTTTAATGAAAGAAAACGTCAATCAACTAACTATCCATAACACTGCTAGAAGGTGATATATTCACGATAGGGTGAACAACGAATATGTGGTCTGCAATAGAGAGAACAGATTGTATCAAAGATACAATAAAGAGAAGGAAAGGAAAAAAGTGACAATCGATGACGTATGTTTGCAGTTATATCCGTTCAATGTCGGCGATTTGACAATCAGCGCGTCGGTATTGTTGAATTATCTCGAGAGCAACGCCAAAGTACCATGGGAAGATCTACGTTACTTGTTCGGCGAGATCATGTATGGCGGACACATAACAGACGACTGGGACCGGAGACTGTGTCGGACGTACCTCACGGAATATCTCCAGCCGGAGCTGGTCGAGGGTGAGATGTATCTGGCTCCGGGTTTTCCGGTACCACCCAGTGGCGATTACGCGAGCTATCATCAATACGTGGAGGATTATTTGCCAGCGGAGAGCCCCGTGTTGTACGGACTTCACCCGAACGCGGAGATCGGTGAGATTTTTCGATCCATCGTGCCCGATCCAAAGTGGGAGATGAAATCTGCGAGGAGATCTGCCTGCCTATCCGCTTCTTAGGAACCGCTTCTTGATCGAGTTCTGGCCATTTTCGGATTTTATTCCACTTTCCTCTCACTCGCGCTGTGAATCCTCACTCGTTATTCCTCACGCAGGGTTCCTCACGAACACAGCGGAAAATTTGTTCAAGACGATCTGGGAGATGCAGCCGCGGGACGTCGCCGACGCGACAGTCGGAGCGTTGTCGAAAGAGGACAAAGTGAGAGCTATGATAGAGGATCTATTGGACAAACTTCCCGAGCAGTTTAATATACAAGAGCTAATGAGCAAGGTTAGTATCGCGCTGTGAAACGACAATCTCAGTCGATCGAGATAACTGGGGATACTCTATCCTCGATTTAGACTTTCTGAAGTTAAGATGTTAAGTGGAATATTGAGGTCGAAGATAGAGTAAAAATCTTCGCTCGGATAAGCAATCGCGTTAAACGCGACGTTGACATCATTTCTAACGATTGGTCTGGTAATCTGGCTATAATGAAAAAGTAAGCGATTTTTCCAGATAGAAGATCGTACACCTTTCGTCATCGTGGCTCTTCAAGAATGCGAACGTATGAACATATTGACTAACGAACTGAAGAGATCCTTGGGAGAACTTGATCTCGGTTTAAAGGTAATCACCGAAGAGAGAACGCGAAGCAACGCGAGAAGTTGCAACGCGATAGATTGAAAAATACGCGTTTCGCAGGGAGAGCTCACGATCAGCGCGGACATGGAGGATTTGCAGAATCATCTTTTCATGGAGTCGGTACCGCCATCCTGGGCCAGATACGCCTATCCCTCCACTTTGGGACTGTCCAGCTGGCTAACAGACATGCTAAATCGAATTACCGAGCTATCGAATTGGACTGTAGATTTCAACGTAAGCGAACACGTCGACGACTCGTAAATACGTAATGAAATATTATATGAACAGAAGCTAAAAAAGCCTATAAACTACATCGAAAAAAAAATCGATAATTTCATTCTTAGTGGAATCCTTTTACATATATGACCTCAAGAGGATTCTCCTGAAACAAGAAGGAAAATATCCCTTTGTAGAGCGATATCGTTCCTCTTCATTAGCAGATAAAAATACTCTTTCGGTTTAAGTTTTTGTTCAGAATATGGGATTACAGGAAATAGAGTATCTTGCAACGTAAGAGTGCTCCTTTTTGGAATATTTTCCTCTTGAGAAAATGTTCTCCAAACCGTATATAAGAGGATTCCGTTAAGGATGAGATTATATATTTTTGGGTGTAGAAATTAATATAGCGTGTAACCACTTTCAATCTCGATCTTAGTCGCGCGTGTATTTCGACAGTTGCCATCGTCGGTCTGGCTGGGCGGCTTCTTTAATCCGCAATCTTTGCTTACGGCCATTATGCAGCAAACCGCCCGTAAAAACGAGTGGCCTTTGGACAAGATGTGCTTGCACTGCGACGTAACCAGAAAACAGAAGGAGGAAATCACGTGAGTCGCTTGGAACTCGACGACGACGACGACGACGACGACGACGACGCGAAAAATAAGTTCTTGCGAAACGAGCGTTTTTACGGCCGCTTGTCGAATGCGCGCTTCGTTTCCGAAGTCGGGTTTCTGTCTCAAATGTAAAATCACCACCGCGCGCACGGTAAATCGCACGGATCCTCGCGATATGTAATATCGATTGCTCCTCGGCGAGACGGTCGACCCTCAAAGGGTCAACGAAGGGGATCGACGCGATAACGAGAGTTTCACCCGGTTAGGGCGGCGCCGCGCGAAGGAGCATATGTGAACGGTCTGTACATGGAGGGTGCTCGATGGGACATTGCGACCGGCTTCATCGCGGACTCTCGGCCGAAGGAGCTGCTGTCCTTGATGCCGCTGGTGTTCGTCAGGGCGATCACGCAGGACAAGCAGGAGACGAAGAACGTGTACGAGTGTCCGTTGTACAGAACGCGAACGCGCGGTCCCACGTATATCTGGACGTTCAACCTGAGGACCCGCGACAAGCCCACCAAGTGGACCTTAGCCGGCGTGGCGATTCTTCTGCAGATTTGAGCGACGGCGCGTTCACACGCGAGTTTGCGATCGTTTCTCCATTCTTTTTTCTTTTTTCTCTTTTCCTTCAATGCTCCCGGCTCTTCGCGCGAGTCGTAATGGTAACGCGCGCGCGCGCGCGCGCGGCTTCCCGGTTAATAACCCTCGCAATTACGTCAAAGCCTGTACGGTATGAGCAGCGAGTCGCGGTATCGCCATGGAGCGACGATAATTACAACGCGCGTATTCGGCTAATTATGCGATTGGCATATACTTTACGCGTGTGGTCGTTGCACGTAGAACGTTCTCTTTGTGCTCGCTTTGTTTCTCGTTGCGAGGCGATTTGACGCTGTTCCACTGTAGAGCCTCCCGGTCTCGCGTCGGAAACGGAAGAAACCTGATGGGGGACAGATGCGCTCGTTACTCCGAATGGGGGAAAAAAACGCATTGCACCGTGTTTCGATTGAAATCGCGTTGAATTGGAGACGAGCGCGGGCGAATTGAAGGCGATCGAGCGAGTCGGGAGGACGTCGTTGCGACAACGTGACGACGTGCGTTTTCGTCGGCCCAGTAAGGAAGAGGAACATCGGCTTTTGCACATCCGGTGCTTTCTTTACGCTCTCTCTCTCTCGCGGTGGTGCGTTTGACGAGTCAACGGTACACGACGACAATATGATTGGAGGGTTCGAGGAAGTGGTCACCTTTATCGGCTGCGACGTAATTGTCTGTTTCGCGATGACGCATCTGGTTTCGCGTGTCGATGCTCTCTCTCGCTCTCTCTCTCTCTCTCTCTCTCTCTCTCTCTCTGCTCGCGCGGAATTTCGGACACGCGACGAGCGCCTTGCGAAAAACACGACTCGCAGCGACCACGCTTAACTCGGATAATGCACGGTCTTTTAAAGCGTAGCATAGCCGCCGCGTATGTTACCGTTCAGTCAAAGCAATTAGCCGTAACTGCAAACTGCTAACTAGTTTGCCAACCGCGACAAGGACGTGTACGAATGAGTGGAATCCTCCCGGTTGCTGCGCGCAAAAGGATAACTCAAATTACGAAACTGTTTTGCGCACGAGTTTTCTCTTCCAAAGTAAGAAAATTAATCATATCAGCTGAATAAAATCAACGCTAATTGCGCTCCATCGAGAATTACTTTTAATAATACTTTTAATAATACGCGGCGAACTCTAGTCTCTCTCCCTCTCTCTCTTTTTCGTGGATAAGCCTCGACTTGTTCATCGTGCTCGGCGTCTAGACGAGGTCGGCGCTACCTGTCTCGGATTAAGAAAGAGTCGGGAAATATTTTTTGGTCATTAAACTAATTAGATTACCGGTATTGCGGCGGTCGGCTATAAATTAGCGTTCCAGGTCCTTTACGGTTGCTCCGTCCGGAGCCGTCTTCGGCCGAGAACGCCTTCAGGGCAAACGCGCGCGTTTCTGGTATTTATAGGGGACCTACCGGACGAAGAAGGTGAGGTGGACGCGAGACTTGTTAAAAACTGTGTTCAACCGGCATCGAACGGATCGTACGACAGACATCGCGGGTGATTGCTACCTCGATGCACTCGGACGTAGCTCTTCGCGTGAGCTTTGAGTTCATTTTGCGCGATCTATGTTTCGCGATAAAAGTCCAAGCAGAGAATTCCATCTATAGCCCTGCGCACCGTGTGCGATACCATTCGTGGACGAAGAACTGAATGCTGTCGCGCGAATTGAAGTTTGTCCTATAATAGGTGCGCGCACAAAGCAACGTGCCCCCGTAAATATATACGACCTGTAATTAATGAGTCAAGAAGAAATCGAGAAGAAGAAACTTTCGTCAAAGCGCAGGTCATTCTGCGCCCCGTCCAAATTAAAGTCACAATAAATGGAAAGTCTTACATAATGAGAAACTTTCTTACCGTGACAAGAACGCGGTATCATTGTTACGTAGAAACTAAAACGCAATCTAACGGAAACGTGTCCTTGTGCAACAATCGTCTTTCCCGTGTATCGAGATTGCAAGGAAATCTATTTTTCACTTGGATATTTTTTCCTACGCATTCGAATCCTTGTCGAAACTCATCTCAGAGAAAAAGATATCGAGGGCAGCTACACTGAGAGAAAAAATATTTAAGAGAAAGTTTATTTCTGTGAATAAACTTTACATATATAAAATTTCAACTATTTTTTTCTGTGTACATTAATTCTACACAAAACTCATATAGCTGTCGCTACCCGTGTCCACCCGTGTCTAAACATGCGATATATCCCATCCTACCTATATTCAATTGTAATATTTGTTGCGAATCGGCTCACGGTGAAGGTATAAATCGAGATAGTAGAGAATTGGACGCTTTAGAGCTCCCGTCGGTCGGGTATGCCCGTCGGACCGGTGTTTGTAAATATCGCAAAGCGTTTATTCGTTGAAAACGACATCGACTTTAGAACGCCACTGAACGTAGTATTGTTATTCAACAGCTTGGAGCAATAAGCAAAATATAACACGCGCAGTAAACAACGTCTTTGCGTCCAACATGTCAGACATGACTCTTCAAGTTTTAAATATTCATACTGAGATTATCAATCGAGTCAATACAGTCAATAATAAATGCGATGTAAATGTAAACACTGCGAAAAAAAACTGCGAAAAAAAAATAGCAAACGAATGCAAATTCTTTTCTCCAGATTTCCAATCTAGCGCTTTCAATTCTTAACTTCTCTGCATGGAGCTGCTTTCGATACTTGTTGGCTTTTTATGTCGTCAGTTTTTCGCTTTTCTAGAATGAATTTTTAGATTGACAAAGTGTGCTAGCGTTCAACTATTTACACGTTGCTGGTAAAGCAATATGAAGTCGCCAGCGTTTTGAAGAGAATTTAGCGGAAACCGCCACGCCAGTCTCAAGTGTCACGGAATAACATACTTTAAGTCGCCCGCTGAGTTATTCGCTACCGTCTTGACACGGAGCTTGTCTTGAGACTGCTGCTAAAGTCACTCAGCTATTTGCTTAACGAGAACGTTGGACATGTTCAACTTTGTTACAACGACCACTATACGCCGCGACTCGAGCATTTTAGACGAATAAAAAACGAGCGTCTAGAAGAAGCTGAATTCAGTGAATTCACTGACGAATTCAGGAGCTCGCTTGAAGAGAATAAAAGCAACGCGCCGTGTAAAATACTCTTTAGATTAGTTACACCACGAACGTGTGTGTCCACGCAAATGCTAATTATTTTGCTCGCGCGAGCCCATCATTTAACTTTATCAGAGTTTGTTCATTATATTAAGCACTTATTAACGCGTTTAAGTTAAATCAAATGTAGATCTCGCGCGATACGCGAAACAAAGGCTCGTAAAGCACGAGTCCATGAATATTAATATATATTATTAATTACGTCTGTTCGATCGCGAGAATTGAAGAGATGACGCGACGTACACGCGTGCGACAAGCAGAATGATAAACAAACTCATCACTCACCGATCTGAAGCAGAAGACTGAAGTGCGGATCCGGCGGTGAAGCACCACAGGGTGGTAGCGGCGGCACGTCAAGTCAGGATTTTCCGAACGACTTTCTCGTCCTTGCCGTCGATCGTCGCGCTGAGTCTCTGATGACGACGAGTCTCGCCTCCCACCTTGTCCATCCGCTCCATCCCTTTCCGCCTCGTTCGCCGGCGCGGAGGCGCGAAGAAACCATTTCGAAAGGATACGAAAGGTGCGAAAGGTGCGAGCGAACAGGCCCCCCAGGATGACTCTCGCTAATCGCGGGCAGGCGGAAAACAAGCGTGATGAGTCGCCTCGCTTCGCCTCGCCTCGCCTCACCTCGCCTCACTTCGTCTCGCTTGGGCCTAACTCGACTCAACGCGACTACAACGACCTGCGACGACTGAGGAGTTAACCCTCTCTCTCTCTCCCTCTTTTTCCCTTACTCCCTCTCTCCGTCGCTCTTTTTTCCTCCGCGCGGCGGAATATGTAAACGCGCACGTAACACTCGCAGCAATGTGAACGATACGAGACGATGCGTACATGTTGGAACGATAATCGATACGCGTTATGTCCTTAACGCGTATATCCGCACAAGTTCGTGGTACTTTGACGCGCTTTATATGTCGTATATACCAGTAAAGAACCAGCCTCGGGGAAAAAGTACGTTTCCCCGAAGTTCACATTCACACCGAACGCATGAAAATACTGAATTTTCCGCGCAAATCGGGAAATAAATCATTCATTATGTTAAATTATATTATCAAATTTGATAACTATACTCTGAGAAAAAGACATGGTAATGGCAACTATACAAGGTGCTTGACGTTAAGTATCTCGTAGATTAAATCAAGCACAAAATTTCTCTACCATTTTTCAAACAGCCGCGTAAAGTTTTGAGTTATTAATTTAAGGAGACGAATGTGATATAGAAGACTGCTGAACCAAAGGTCCAGTTGCAATAACAAAATAATTTATTAAACTGTATATATAATGTATAGTATGATTCTACATATAAAACTCGTACAGTTGTCATCTGCATAATTGCCACTATCATGTTCTCAAAGTGTAACTGGCACTTTGCAAATACCCAATTAAAGATCCTGGCTACTCGCCGTGGCCATGTTGGACCGTGACATCAGAGGTGGAAAATGACACTGAAAATTCCTGCGTGTTATTTTTAAGTAAAAAAATTATTTTGAATAAACAGACACTTTAGATTGCTGGAATATACTTGCAAAATGCTCAGAAAATTATCTTTCTTCCTTGACAGTCAACAAATGAAAGTATAGTGAAAAAATCATGAGAAAAGCTGGGTTAGAGACGAAAGAGTTGCTTATTAATTTCACGGTTATTTATTGATTGTTAGGGAAATAGAATAATTTTCGGAATATTTTACAAGTACGCACAAGCTTGATGTTCTTTCATAGAAATGTCATTTTGTTTTAAAACGGCACGCAAGAATTTTGGGCGTGCGTCTCCTCGCTTCTAACGTTATCAGTCGAGAGAGAGAGAGAGAGAGAGAGAGGATGCCTGAAAAACTAATTTTTAACTTCGATACGCGAGATACGATTAGCGAGAATTCGATTTGCGCTTTGATTACGATAACGCTCAATGTCTCGCGGAATGATCGGTTCGCGCTTCTGCCCGTTGTCGTCGATTCCGATATTCTCACTTTTTGCCGACGATAAGTCGTCCCCAGTCCGTATTTCATCTTCTCTCCTGCTCGTTATTTGCATACGCGATACATCGTTTTCCGTATCTCCGAGCCTCATCGTATGCTCACGGCAAACGGTGCGGAGAGGTTTGAAGATAATTAATGCAAATTACACACGGGCAACGGGCACGCTACCGGTTACGGCGTTACACGAGATGAAAGCCGCCGAGCGCTCGTCATGTAAGTCGTCGCTCTTTCGTGTCGATCTGTCGCTCGATTACCATCCGATACAATTGATTCGACGGACGATTGACTACTATCTCCTCCCGCGAGCGAGCCAGGCGATTAGTTTTTGCGTATTTCCCAACCTTCGTCCCGTCCCGACCCGTCTCGTCCCGTCCGTCTCGTTCGCGTGCAGTGAGCTGTATACTTAAGCCGCGGAGAGCCACCGCACTAAACGGACGTGGCGCGTATAATTTATGAATTATTATTTTGTACTATAATGTCGGCCGCTTCTCTCTTTCTTTCTTTCTTTCTCTCTCTATCTTTCCTCGCAGCCCTACGGTACGCTCTCGTCTCCTTCGAGCTCTTCCGCGGAGAGAAGCGTCTCGTCGGAAACAGTGAGATAAAGAGCATCGTCAGTGGCGTAGGGTTCACTTTGCGTGGCGTTATTCTCCTTCATTCAACGCTCGCGACACACGAGTGAGACTCTGAGTGTCGCGAGTGTACTCTCCAAAGAGATTCGCCGCGTCAACCGAGCGGGCGATGTCAATCGAATCGAGCGCTCGACTCGACAGCTGCTCAGTTTTGCTACGACTGCAAGTAATGAAAGGTCTCCCGACCGTTGGAGAATCCCCGTTTCATGAATGAAAGATATTTCACCCGGAGAGTAGAGGGTGAAATTGTCGCGATGGTCCACCGGGAAGCGCGCCAGTGTGAGCCGCAGCAACGAGGCAGCCTGGAGAAAGACCAGACAGGCAGGCTAGCGAGAGAGGCCAGAGTGTAGGCAGGCAGGCAGGCAAGCAGGCAGGCAGGCAGGCAGGCAGGCAGGCAGGCAGGCAAGCAAGCAAGCAAGCAGGCAGGCAGGCAGCCAGGCAGCCAGGCAGGCGGGCGGGCAGGGCGGCAGAGAGAGCGAACGGACGAGCTCGGAGCGTAGGTCCGAGCTCCGAGTATCCTATAATTACGAGTAACTCAGCCACATTTGCGTTGATCCGACACCTTAAAGATAGCATTTAGCGGCCCCTTTCATCTCCGCGGCAAACAAACCAATTTATACCTCAGGCCGCTTTGTGCTCCGGCGAGGGACGTGCTCCGCCCCGAACTACGAGTTAGCTCCGTCTTTTTCCATCTTCCCTCTCTCTCTCTCTCTCTTTTCTTCTTTTCTCTTTCCTTTTCCCTGCCACTCTCCCCCCCCCTCTCTCTCTCTCTCTCTCTCTCTCTCTCTCTCTCTCTCTTTCTTTCATTCCCTAGCGAACGCCTTCCAGTTCGATTTCGCCCTTGGTCTTCGCGAATTTCGCTGGAAATCAATCGCGTCGCTCTCGAAAAGTGAAACACATTAACGTCCGAGTAGCGAGTACTCTTAGCGGCGCGGGTGAGCGAGCAAGCAAGTAAGGGTGGGTGGATGGGTAGAAGCCGAATGAGCGACCAGCGGAGCCACGTCGCGTTTTTGCTCTCCTCTCTCGTAACTAATTGGTGCGCGTTATTACTTTCGTACGTCGTTTTCGCTTTTTCCATGTCTACCTCCCTCCCCCTCTTTCTCTCCCTCTCTTGCCGAGGTCTGCGAGGAAGCGAAGGTTCGCGTGACTAAACGCTACGACGCGAGGACGTCGGAGCACACGATAATGGTAGGTTACCGCCTCTTCTTCTGGCATTCGGGCTACGCTTCTATTTGTTGTTAGCATTTGTCCGGGTGAACGCGAGCGCGGCTCCTGTATAAATAAAGTTAGCGCGGAATTTCGCGTACACAAGTTGCGGGATCACGTGGACGCTGGCTAAAAACTTTCGCGACGCCGGTGACCAACCCTCCGTGGAAACACGCAGGTGCGACGTAACGTCGCGCTTTACGTTCGGTCGTGAAATACGGAGTATTTCGCTTACTTCCCGGCTCTCATCTATAAACGATGGCGATCGATCCGATCGACAACCCCGACGCCGTCGTCGCCATCGAGGTGAGTGACAATATTGTCAGTATGTAATCTTCCTCTTAACGATAACAGCCGGCTAACTACAATTGGTTGTAGGACGTGAAGTCGGAGTGAAACGTGGGTCGCGCGAGATAAGAAGTAAGAGTACCAGTTCCCACCCAGTACACCCACTCCTAAACATTCTTATTTTACTCCTTAAACACAAATAAACTTTCAGCATAGAATATACGTACATGTTCAATATATATATACATTGAGAGAGAAAGAGAGAGAGAACTATAACTAAAATTATAATTATTTTTGGCTCCAGCCATATTTTTGTAACAAAATGAAAGTAGTAATATACATATAAGATCGTTATCATCAATATTAAAGTAGAATTTAATAAAAAAAAAATATAACGGTTTTCTTCACCATAATTTATAGTAATTATTATTCCATATAATTATAGTTACACATATATAATTACCAAACACTCTATTCCAAATATACATACTGATGTTGAAAGTACTCGCGTTTAAAGGCCAAAACAATAAAAATGTCTAGGATTAGGTCCAGGCGTTTTGACCTTAGCACAAATGCGTCCTAATTCGGACCAATCGGGACGATTCCTATATGCCGGTTACAAAGATGTAAGCGTATGGACATAGTGTTCCCGCACCCGGGTTCTCGCAACCGAGTAAAGCGGCATCGCGCGCACGAGAGAGCCGATCTTTAACGACCCGCCATCACTTTCGCGGGCGCCTTTCTTCTTCTTCTTCTTCGCCTTCTTCTTCTTCTTCGCCAACGTTCGATCTTTTGCCGGCGGTAAAGCGGAGAGTTTTACGACGCCCTCGGAATCCTTAAAATATCTCTGAGAATTTCAGGTCGCTCTTTCTCTCTTTCTCTCTCTCTCTCTCTCTCTCTCTCTCTCTTTCTTGCACTCCCTCTACCGCTCGTCCGAGCGAACGGCGTACAATATCCATACATACTGCGGCGCGTGATACGTGCAGGTCGCTCGTAAAACGCGAGATTAACGCAATTAATTCCCATGTTGTCGGGAACGACTCTCGGGGCTACTCGGATTACTCCGGGATACTCGACTAGTACTTTGTCCCTTCTTTCGATCGCGTCGTCGAGACGTAACGTGTCATTAGCGTGGCGCGCCGCTAACAGAACAAACAAATTGTTTCTCCAACCCACCCGACACCTAAAGCGTAACTAACCCAAGCCACACCCCGTGGAAACCCGACTAATTTGACCGATTGTGGTCGACCCGACGAACGACCTCTCCTTGTCCCTTTCTCCTCCCTCTTCTCACTCTCTCTCTCTCTCTCTCTCTCTCTCTCTGTCTCTCTCAGTTGTTTCGCCCCGCTCGAAAAAAAAGAGGAGAGACAAACTCCGATTAATTTCGTAAGACGCAGTTTGCAAAGAAAAAAGAACAAGAAAGAGAAAGGGGTGCTGAAGGGGCGAGAGAAAAGGAGGAAAAGAGGGAGAGTGTTGTGTGTGTGTGTATGAGAGAGAGAGAGAGAGAGAGAGAAACGTTGCGCGGTCTACGTCACTTACTTCGGTTTACGGACATTTTCAATTTTGCGAGCGACAAAAGATATTTCGGTACGCGCGAGTACCGTGACGGCGGTGATTCGTCTTCGATGCCGTATAAAAAAAAAAGTGCAGGCACTGTTGTCCGGTGTCCGTTACGAACAATGCGGAGGCCCCGGTTACGCCGGGGTGGTCGGAGCCACCAAATAAATTGAACGAGCACGAGGTACGTCAAAGAAGACCGTCACGGGCCCAATTTCAAATCGATTAGCTCGCCCGGATCTCGGACTCGGAATAAAAGGCCCCGGCTGCTATCCCGCCGACGACCAAAAGTTCCCGCGCGCGCTTACCTGCTTTACGAACGCCCACCTTTACGTCGAGTCCCGGGCGCGCTGATACACACGCGTTACACGCACGTTCTTTCCAAACACCACCGCAAATGGAAAATGTTTCGTCCACCTCGGATTCGGGCGCCTATGGGTGCAGCAGGTTGATGTTTTAGGTTGTTTGACTTGGCGGCCGAGGCCCGCTCTGTAATTATCTCACCTTGGCATGCACTACCTGCCCAGATGTATTAGCGTCCAGTCCTCTAAACCAACCGGGATATCTCCCGGTGATATCCCGAAATATTGCCGAGAGCTCTTACGAACATATCGTACGTGTATGCGTCGAACGTGGATGTACCGTACTGTACGGCCATTGTGGTCCTTGATGGGAGCGACGCCACGTGTGAACGAAAGTAAAAGTAACTAGGTTGAAATCTCGCTTGAATTTTTAGTTATCTCGCGTTCGAGCTCTCTGTCGCGTGTATGCGCGCGCAACGTTTTGTTTCATCTGTCTTAGATCACTCAAACTCTCTCGCGATCAGGTTGCCCAGTCTGAGTTTACACTTTTGACCATAGAGGTCACGACAGAATTCGTAGTGTCCGCCCAAAGCCTCTGACAGGGTATACCGTGCGTACATACATATAGACGTAAGTAGATACAAGGTCGGTTTCCGAAGGAAGATCGGCGGCGGCTGCGCTGGCTAATCATAAGCGACCGGGCTCCTCGCCAATTAATACCACCTTCGGCATCCTCCACCTCGGGCACATCGGAACGGCGTGGAATGGCCAGGCGAGACGAGGCGAGGCGAGGCGAGGCGAGGCAAGGCGAGACAAGGCGAGACGCGGCAAGGAGAGAAGTGTGGAAGAAGAGAGGAGGGACGAGACGAGGTGAGGTAAGTCGAAGCAAGCCGAAGCGAGGCGTGAAACGAGCGAGCCGCGCGAACGATAGAGCGAGACGTTACACGAGTCTCTGTCCGTTGCACGAGTTTCTCTCGCTCACGCTCGCCATTCTTCCGATATGTATTATAGCGCGGCTTCGAAGGAGAGAGAGAGGGAGAGGGAGAGAGAGAGAGAGAGAGAGAGAGAGAGAGAGAGAGAGAGAGAGAGAGCGCAACCTCACGCCTGGTCGGGCCGAATACCGCGGTTTCTCTCCAAGGGGCTCTTTTCCCGTTCTCCTTCTCTCTGCCTCTTCTTAGCAACCGCGCCGCAACTGCGAGGCAACTCCGATCATCGGGAACGAGTGCGAAGAAGAGGAGTGGTGGATCGACGATCCCGTGGCATGATCAGTGGCGTACGTAATAGGGTGTAATGGTGAGACCTCTCTCGATACCACCGGATGCAGCAGCGCCCGGTGCGCAAAGGGGGAGGGAGGGAGAGAGCGCTCTACGTTAGCGCGCGGTAACGCGCTCTTGTTCGTTCGCCGATTTTTTCGCCGGCCTGTGCGTGCGTGCGGTTTGGTCGATGCATATCGATGACATAATCTCCCCGATATATCGACAAATTGATATATCGTCGCGCGGATGTCGATATTTTTATGTTTGCCTCACAGAGTAGAGGCGTTCTAAGCGGCGTAATTTGCGAATTATATCCGTACGGATACAGGCGAATGAGCGACTAGAGGGAGAAAGAGAGAGAGAGAGAGAGAGAGAGAGAGAGAGAGAGAGAGAGAGAGAGATAGGTAGTTTCCATGTGATTATTCATCGTAAATATCATTTCACATTTGACTCGCTTACGCGTCAAATTACTTCTCCAAATAGACTCTGTCTCACACACGCACTATAAGCTAGTACGTCCGAAAATGCGTCGCAAATTCGCGAGAGGCGTCTCGGCGAATCGTTGCGCGCCCGAGACGCCGATAGAAACGACGATAATATCCGCATCTCGCGAGGCAGCGGCACGTCTCGCTACGGCGAGATAGGATCGAGACGGTAAATCCTGTCGATCGGGAGAGTTTAGAATAATCAGATTCTTCGGTCGAGATTACGAGTCCGTAGGGAGCGAGGACGTCGGCGAGAGCGGACGCAACGAACGCGGGCCCAGGCGGGAAAGGGATGAGTCAAGGTGAGAGAGAGAGGAGGTAGAGTCGGTACCGCGCGGAGTGCAAGAGTGAGGAGCGGAGGTGAGGAGAGGAGAGGAGAGAAGCGGCGCAGGTAGGGGAGAAGGTGGTAGCGCGCGAGAGCCGAAGAAAGAGGGGCAGGAGGGAGGGAGCGAACGAGCGAGCGAGCGAGAACGAACGAGAGAGCGAGAGCATGTATACGGGTCCGAGGTGTTTTTCGGGGCGTGGCGAAGCTCCGCGTGATTACAGCGCGAGGATCGGTCAGCGCGGTGAGAGTTCAAAGCATCAAAGAGCTCCGACCAGCGAGAAATTGCTTAGGATTCATCCTTCTCGGCACGGGCTGGCAACGTGTGTCGTAAACGTATACCCTTCGCGATCCTCTCTCTCTGCTCTCGCCTTCACCCCGTGGCCAATGATCGCGCCACCACCACCCGTCTCCTCCCTCTGCCTTAAGTAGCCCGACTCGATACCCGCGCGTATAATGAGACCTGGTTCCGATCGCGCCGCGATTACGTGCTATATACGTCTAATGGTATCCCGTTCGAGAACTTTATTTACGAGATATCTATTACGCGCGCGCCGTACGAATCGCCGCGCGGAAACCCATTCGTCGCGTTCTACGCTGCTTTTTCTTTTTTCTTCCTTTTTTGCGCGACGCGCGATGCGGCGATCGATGCAACCTTTCGGCGCGACGTTACTCGCGTGCTCGCTGCCCGATAAGGGCAGCACGACCTCGACACTTTTCGATCCAACAGCAGTGTGGATTGATGAATTCGGTGTGCCATTAATGCGCACACCGACCGATCTTACGTGTAAAATTTATCGACCGATCGCTCTGATCTTATTTGCGACGCGAAAACGACAATTGAATCGATCAAGGTTAGCCGTATAATGCAAGCTAATTCGAAAATTTTATCGCAGCATCGCCAACGCTCGGCGGTGCCGATGATAAATTCACGGCAGATAATCGAAAAGATCGTAGTGGAGATTCACGCCCTCCATTGTGGACGGATCGATAATCGTTTAGTCGCACATTACACGGGAAATACCACGAGATTACGACACCGATATAATCGCGTGAATGCGTAGAATGTCACGGGATTGATTTGTAAGAAACTTGTTAAAGTTCTCAATGACGTAACAAGGAGATGGATCGGTTAATGAATCGGCTAAGACGAGGCTAATGAAACTAGGAAGAGGATGCCAACTCGGTTCTTTTTTGGAATTTGAAAAATGAGAAGAATTTAAGAAATGCGATATACAGGGAGATTTTTTCTCCAATCGTTTATTTCCTTGTTTCCGTGTACTTGTCGTCTGCTCGCTCAATGCCGCGATTTAATGAAGGGACGAAGCCAAGATCACGTACATCAGTATAACACCAAACACCTATGTTAAACATTTTATGAGTAAATTTGTGCACGAAGAGGATAGTTTTCTTTTTCATATAAATTATCTTTTCAATTTTAGTATGTTTCTAGTAGCGCGGGAATAGACTGTCGGTAAGGTCTGTCGAACAAACATCATAAATTTCATAGAAACAATTAATTTTTCAATAGCACATTTCAATTCCTAAATTAAATAAGTAGAAAAATACGAAAAGACAGTTCGATAGTGTCCATCTGTTCTTCGGTTTCAAAATTCTATGGTAATTTCCACGCGCAGTTCTCGAGTTACTCGAGCTTAATTGAAACATCAGAAATTACCGAGAATGGAAATCGGTTGTCCATGTTAAACAAGCCGAAGACTCTGATGCGTAACGGTTGTATTCGAAGATACACGCCCAATTCGATCGCTTCCTAAAAATGAGACAAACGTGCTTTCGTTCCAGTCGAGTCTTTCATTCATTCGATTAAAGTATCGGGGCGAGTCGAACAAAATGTTACTTCTTCTCATGTGATACGGGAGGACGTGATTCGTACAAGAGCTTCGATCGCTCGAAATCGATGCTTGGGATTTCGAAATCGACTCACGGTAAAAAATTCGTTGCGTCTGAATGCGGAAGTTCCCATCGAAAGCACTATTCTCGCCAGCGCGTTCGCCTGTGGAACAGATTTACGCGACATTAAGAGAGCGTTTGCACGTCGACACGCTTACCTGATCGCACGTCAAGTGACAGACGCGACTTGCAGCGATAATTTGAACCGACAGGTATACGAGTATTACACACTGAAGAATAACTGTCCTGGCTCTGTTCACCGTGTAAACAGCGAAGAAAATGTACATCAGAATGTCCATTAACAAGCACGCGAGCCAACAGAGCAACTGCGGACTGTAGTGGGAACTGAGATATTTGGTCGCGTCGGTGAGACACCGATGCAATCGCTGAAGATGTAAGATCGTGAGTTCTTCGGGCGCGTTCACGCCGACGGTCACCCCTATGCAGAGAGAAAGTCGATATATCGTATAAATTAAAGTTGATGATGATCAAATGATTAAAATGCGATTAAAAAAATATATATTTTAGAGTAAAAAATACACACATATCTGACGGTAGATGGAGAAACGCTCATATACATCAGATCGAACACTTTCGAAATTCCTCCGCTATTTTGCCAACAATTATGCGTAGAATTTCGAGTTATTTATTAAAGAAGATTGGCGAATAGTACTGAGAAAAAATGTTTGATACTTGTAACTACAATCGCTAATGATAAAACTACGATTGCGATAGATTATGGTGAAAGAAGGACATTTTATTACATTCTACTGTAATAATAATCTTATATGTTATTACTAAAGAACAACTAAAAAATATAGTTGGAGCCAAAACCAAACTCTCTATAATTTTAGTTGGATCATTCATTCTTTTCTTCTCAGTGTGGCGATATACTCGTTTGCAAAACAGGTTATTTCTGTCAGTGAAAGAAATCTAAGAAAGATCGTTACCGATCGTTTTATCTGTCACATCTGCGATCTGCGTGTTTTTCCACCTACCTTCCCTGTACATAATAAACTGACTTCGTACTTCGCACGTGATAATTCGAGCAACGTTTATCAGTGGACACGGTGACTCGTTGATGACTCGACGACGTCGCGGCATCGGACGATCCGCAACACAGCTGATTGACGAGACGGAACCTGCGACGCAACGCGTCGTACAGGAAGCAGAATTTTGCGACCTCCGTGGAGAACGCGGCGCGCATGAAACTCATAATCGCGATCGTGTGCCATCCAATTTTGTCATCCATGGCGTACCTCACGTGCACGCCGTACAGAGCCCAGACTAGGTGGACGCCGAACAACACCAGCCACTGGACGCGACGATTCACGGGCGGCCCGCTGTTGACGTCCGCCCGGCGGCGGTAGTGCCGCGTCAGATCGTCGAATTTGCGCGCGGACGCTACGGCGCGCTCAAAGTCCAGGTGACACAGGCACGACAGCACCGTCGTCAGGATCATGAAGAGGCTGCGGGTGTACCGATCGACCTGCTGCACCGCGCAGCCGACGATCATCGCGCCCGCGGAAACGCATTCGAGTAAGCTGCTCGCGTGATACGCCGCCGCGCAGTACACGCCGCACGCGACAACCGAGTAGAGCATCAGCGGACGGAAACGCGTGGCCGCTGTCGCCGGCGTGGAGTCGTCCTCTCGGATCGTGTGCGGATGACAGCCGTAAACGCGAGACGCGTACAGCAACCATCGGCAGTTTTCCAGCATGATCGCGCACGGGAAAAGCACGGGAAAAGCACGGCGCCGCGACTATCGTTCCACCGCCCCGCCGCGACTGACTGGCTTTCCCGTCTGTGCTTCGCCACATCGCCGGCCAGATAAAGTGCAGATAAGCCCGCTCGTTACCCCGGTCGCGCGGGCGACAACATAATAACGGCGATTTCTTTCTATCGCGTGTGGATTACTCGTGTGGACGCGGCGAAAAGAAGCGCGGGGATGATTTTTCACCGCCACCCTTCTTCTCCATCTCTCTTCTCTCTCGGCGATTGAGAGGAGAGAGAAAGAGGGAGGCGAGGGAAAACGGTTTGCGAATTTTCCTCCGCTCGTCGTATTACACAACTCGCCGGCTATACTAACAAGTACTCGTTTATACGAACGTTATCAATGCGCACACGCAATGCCTATTACGCCGTTATTTGTATTAGTAACGATCAGATAGCGCCGGAACGCACGCGATCCGTCGATCCTAAGGGTTCGTAATGGATCCCACGGCGTAATGGTAATTACCTCCGTCATTATCGTTACTATTAATAATATTCCTTTCTTTTTTCTTTCTACGTTCTTACATCATCGCTATCGTTATCGTTATCTCGCGTCAAGACTCGCGCAGCCCGCGATGAAACAAATTCCATTTTAATAGCTTCGTCGGACTCTCTTTTTCGTTGCACCGCGAGATCTTTCGCGAGATTCAGTTTAATATCGAAACCGATCGCACACTTGCAATTGCTCGCATGCAATGTTGGATTTGTGAAACCTCGAACGAATGTTCAATCGATCATCAACTTTTTTCAAAGAACCCGGGAAAATTTTTAAATAAGACAAATCTGTTTGCAGATTTTCATTTTATTACGCTACTATCTTATAGCTGAAGCTTTTCCATGTCTTTGGAGAACAAAGATAGTTGCAGAAATATCGTGTTTCAACAAATTTAAGATAAAGCTCAAAATTGCTCGATGCTCCCAAATGGTACTACATTTCAAAGAAAAATATGGTGATGGCAACTATATACGAGTTTTGTAAAATTGTAACGCACATAGTTTATTAAACTATATATAATACTATATATATATATATATATATATATATTAATTTTAAAAAATCTGCGTATATGTCTTTTTCACTGAATGTGTATGATCGAACAAATATGATTGTGCATTATGAAGAGAATTTCATAATAAAAAGTACTATAGAATTTAGTAACCGAGATTGTAATAGATTGAGACGTTTTCCGCAGTAACTCGTTGTTCTTTCATATTTCATATGTGCTACTTATATTTTGGGAACTGGAGTGTTGAAACATTTGCTGTATATATTTTTAGCGAAATTAACTAGTCCAATAGTCGGATGGTGTATTAATAACGTATCACTGATGTTAGAGACATCATTAATGCGTCATTAGGACGATTTTTTCATGCGATTGTGTTTGTTGCTAGGTATTGTCCTTAGCAAGATAGATCCTACCGACAATCTGTTTACCTGGATTGCTAAAAACATAGTAAAATAGGAAAGAATTTATATGAGAAAAAACCAATTATACTTACATCTTCGCGTACACTGAGAAGAAGATATCAGGTCTGCTCACAGAAAATTCATTTCACGGAAATAAATGTTGCAGTCCTTTTTCTCAGTACACGCTGGATGGTTAATTCGCGCACATCTCCCAACACGATAGTATTGTTTAACGAAATGTCTAACCGACTATCATCCCCGAAAAGTCACGAAATTTCCGCAGCTACTCTCGTTCCGTCACCCTCGTCGAATCGCTAACGACTCGGTAGGCGCGGTGCGACGGCATAACGACGACACTGCGTGAAAAACGCCGGGCTCGAATCAAAGAGAACGGCTGCTAACCCGGTTTACCGTTTATGTTCTGACAAATGAACGCGCAATCACGGCGACCACGCCTCGGAGAATGAAAAACCGCTCGCGCGTTTTTGCCCCTCGTCGGCGAAGCCCGTAGGGCACTTTGCGTTTTCGTGTGATTTCAAAGTGTTTCGAGCGACATGCTTTTTAATCATTCGCGTTTCTTCACGTCAGGCTCGCGACGGTTGGAATTATTACACGCGCATCGCGAGCGTAATTCGGCTTCTATGCGGTAGTCGATTCAGCGATCACGGTGTTAGGGACTTGACGATCTCATCGACACGGCCGGCCGATTTTTCGCGCGAGGGTTAACGCGACGAAAAAGAGCATTTCATGAGCGGACTCGCAATTAATTAATAACTCGGTACTCCGACTAGAGTCGAGGGAGAGAGAGAGAGAGAGAGAGAGAGAGAGAGAGGAGGGGGAAGGGGGGGAGAGCACGACTCGTTTTACGATGATTCTTTCGAGCGGCAGCGAATTTATGATATCGGTCTTGGCCGTGACACTTACGGAGAGTTTTAGGATAATAAAAGGGCGGCTGCGGTAGGATGGGGAGAGGGATCCGCGATGGAGCGGGGTCTTGAAAGAAAGGAGAATGGCGGGGAGAACGAGAGGAGGAACGAAAGTGATGGACGGTGGCCGATCAGCGCCGTCAAAATAATGATCAGCGTAAATAATAAGCCTCGTTATAATGCCGGACTCTAGGTGTTTTCTCTTCTCCCTTTCTTTTTTACCAAGCCAGGCGTTCTCGCTCGCAACAATGTCGATCCGACCGGAGTAATCTTTGATCCTCGTAAGCGCGGCCCTCGAAGCTCTTCTCTTTATTCCTTCCTTCCTGCCTGCCTGCCTGCCTGCCTGCCTGCCTGCCTGCCTGCCTGCCTGCTTGCTTGCTTGCTTGCTTGCTTGCTTGCTTGCTTGCTTGCTTGCTTGCTTGCTTGCTTGCTTGCTTGCTTGCTTGCTTGCTTGCTTGCTTGCTTGCTTGCTTGCTTGCTTGCTTGCTTGCTTGCTTGCTTGCTTGCTTGCTTGCTTGCTTGCTTGCTTGCTTGCTTGCTTGCTTGCTTGCTTGCTTGCTTGCTTGCTTGCTTGCTTGCTTGCTTGCTTGCTTGCTTGCTTGCTTGCTTGCTTGCTTGCTTGCTTGCTTGCTTGCTTGCTTGCTTGCTTGCTTGCTTGCTTGCTTGCTTGCTTGCTTGCTTGCTTGCTTGCTTGCTTGCTTGCTTGCTTGCTTGCTTGCTTGCTTGCTTGCTTGCTTGCTTGCTTGCTTGCTTGCTTGCTTGCTTGCTTGCTTGCTTGCTTGCTTGCTTGCTTGCTTGCTTGCTTGCTTGCTTGCTTGCTTGCTTGCTTGCTTGCTTGCTTGCTTGCTTGCTTGCTTGCTTGCTTGCTTGCTTGCTTGCTTGCTTGCTTGCCTGCCTGCCTGCCTGCCTGCCTGCCCGTCTGCCTGTCTGCCTTTCTGCCTTTCCGCCTTTGTCGTTCGCGCACCCCCTCCTCGAAAAGTAAATTACATTACCGTACCGCTACCAGCGAAACGTGACTGCATACTAGCCGTCATAAACGCGTTCGCGTTAACATTCGCTAGAGTTGGTAGTTTCTCGTATCGACGCATCGTGTCCGAGACGCGGGACTTTCGTGGCGATTCGGCTAAGAAACGTCAAATGAGCACCTACGAGATGAGTTTCTTTATTACAAGTCGGCTCCCCCGACGAAAAGACAAACGACAATCCCGCACGCGCACTTAAGGTCGAGAGCTTAGGTCGCAATTATACTCGAATGCAGGATGCGACGATCCGCTTGTTTCACCGCGGGGTACGTAATTCGCCACGCATATAAAACGTACAAATTAATATGCTTAGAGAGCGTCCTCCTCCGTCTCCGGCGGCCATTGTTCCTCGCGCACGCACTTTAGCCGGTTCTCCCGTCGCGTCTATGATTACTTCTTTTCCGTGCGTTCCTTCGAGGAAGGAGTCAAAGCGACTCTCGAGTCGGTCATCTCCAGAACGCTCTGCCATTAAACGACTGCGTAATTGCATAGTGTTACGCTACCGTCGTTGATACAATGATGAATCGTGCGACTAAAAACGAAGCGGAGGCATTTCTTCGAGTCATCCTTCTGCCGAGTAGAATCTTGGAAGCTCGAGCATTTCATTCGTGTCTCTTTGTCGGAAAAAAAGCCCGAGACTCGAAGAGCAATCGACGTGAGGCATGAGACGAGTATCCAAGTATCAAAGGCGAGCACCGACGCGAAACGTCGATATTAGACTCTACGTCAAAACAGAGAGGCTAACATTGGAAAGTTTCGTTTCATTGATTATATGAATCACAAAGCGCTATATTATGTCCACAGCGGCTAAATAGAGATGTGGTGAGATTCCGGTAAGATATTTTTGCTAAACGACCACTTGTCTGAATTATTAGTGCGCAACATTATTTGTCCGTTCTATTGTATTTATGTTAATTTCAAAGCCTGCATGAATTAGCCAAGAGCCACGCGACGCTACATTTTGAATGTCTCGCCCGAACGAATTTTAGTTTGTTGACGACGTGTCGCGAGGCGACACGAAAGGATCGAGCGAGCAGAGAAGAAGACATATGAGAAAGAAAAATAATAAGACGATTATACCTATTCAGTATTTTCTACATAAATCCGAACCAACAGATTAGCTTGTGGGAAGCTTATTTCTTGGATATTTTCAGCATATCATGTTTCAAGTGCTTTTTTAGAGTTTTTTTATAGAGTTATAATTGATCCAATTTGAGTCGTTTCTTGAAACAGGATAGAACATGAAGTACACTTAGATTATAAAGAAACATACACAGCTCTGACTCGAAACTAACCCCTTTTTCATAAGCATCCATCAATGTTTTCCTGTGAGACTCATTCATTTGGCGTGAACGACAGTCGAAGACGCGAAAAAGCTGACGCGCGCGCGCGGTGGGTCCACGGAATCTCCTGAAAGAAACGTAGTAGCGTGTCGAACGGACGTAATCGCGTGGGAAGTCACGACAAACTACCATTCGTTCCGCGGTAACGCGCAGAGCTCTACCAGAGAGATCTCCTCGTTCGGGATTGGTCTCCCTTTTTACCTGCAACGTCCGAGCTGATTTATCGTAATTACGCAAACGAACCAACGATCGAGAGGACAGGCCGCGCGCGGCGCGCAATTATATCCCGACGCGCGGCCCCAACCCTCTG